AAAAAAAAAAAAAGGGGAGCGCAACGTGAGTATCTTTGAACAGCCTTGAAAAGGATGTTCTTAAACAATTCTAAAATTGTCGTCGTACACATGTTGCGTACGTTGCGCCAAGATAAAAAGCTGAGGAAAGGAAGGTTTATGAAACGAAGGAACGGGAAGGAGTGATGAAAAACTTAAATAAAAAGCGACAAAAAACGATCGACTATCTCATAAAGATAAGCCGAAGACGGAAAAAGGAGAAAGAGAGAGAAGGAAAGAGAAAGAGAGAGAAAGAAAGAAAATAAATAAAACAAAAGAACGCGGGATCGTGTGAAAGTATATAATATAAAAGCGATATAAATAAAACGGGAGAATTTACTTAATTTAAAAAAAAAAAAAGGAAGGAGGGAAGAAGTAAAAATTAAAACGTATTTGGAAGAGCTTAGGTACATCCGTAGCGAGGCCATACGCGTGGCCGCGCCTCGCGTAGTTTTCGTCACTTCCTCTTACGTCTGTTATTATGTTACACTATCTATATGTTTATGTATATGTATACATATGTATCTCTGTGCGGAGCTTAGGAATTTGCATCTGGAAGAACAAGAACAAGAGATGAGCAAAATTTGAACGGTCCGAGGTAATTGCTTATCGAACTTAAGCAAGTTTTACATTTCAATACCATCTATTTGAACACGAAGCAATATCGACTAACCCGGAGATAATTATATAGCGCCAAACGAGGTCGAGGTACGAAGAACGATTTATGTGTATATATATATATATATTATGACGAAGTGATATTTTAAATATTTTAAATTAAGGTTATTATTATTAAAAAAAAAAAAAAAAAAAAAAAAAAAGGTAAACTCTGAATGTAAATTTAATTGATTAATTAATCTGCAAGAGGGATGAGGAAAAGGGGAGGAAGAGGGGAGAGAGGACTATGAAAAGTGAACAAAAGTAAGATAAAGAGAGATAAGAGAGATCGAACGAGAAATTTTTTTTTCTTTTTTTCTTTTTTTCTTTTTTTCTTTTTTCTTTTTTCTTTTTTCTTTTTTTTTTTTTTTTTTTTTTTTTTTTGGTTTGCCCCACCGTCGTTCCAGGAGCAAATTCCTCGACTTACATACGTATAATATATATATATGTATATGCTCTACGTTCAAGATATGCTTTATCCATAGAATTATCCATAGACAGAATTATAGAATTTTTATCGTTCTCGCTTCATTCTACGTATATTCTACGTATATAATGTATATATATATATATATACACATATATATATATATATATATATATATATTATATATACGCACGTACCCGCGTACGTGTGCTCTGTTATCGATACGTATATATATGTACACACCGCGCTACAGTGAATTTCCACTCACTTTAAACGTCGTCAATGTATAACACAGCACGAGAGATCATCTCACTTCTTCCGTCGTTCAGGACGTCGTACGCATCTCCATCGAATACGGGCCGAATCGCGAGGAACAACCGTTGTTGCTCGGAACCGTTCCCCACACGGAAAGGCTTCACACCCATTTCCACGTGATCCTCTTCGATCGCGCGTTCTCTTCGATTATCGCACCGCACACACACGCGCACCGTCTTTTCTTGTTCGCGCGTCGTCTCGGCCCTCGCGTTTACACTTACTCCTTCTCTTCGCGTCTTCTCCCTTTTTAATTTTTTTCTTTTCTCTTTTTTTCCTTTTTTTTTCCCTTTTTCTTTTTTTTTCCCCACTCCGAGCTGCTCGACAGCATCGCACGTAGAATTCCCCCCTCGCGTTTCGAGGGACGTTTGGATCGACGCTTCGATTGATAAATCAAAATGCCACCACTGGTCGACGTCGTGTATAATTTAGGTACACTTGCCAGTACCGCTCGTTCTCCGAACGAGGAGGAGGAGGAAGAGGAGGAGAGTAGAGGCCAATGACGGACCTTAATCCCTGCCGATCCTCTTGTGAATCTGTTGATGCTTTATCAAATGGGCCTTCTGCCTAAACGCTTTACCGCACACCTCGCACCTGAACGGTTTCTCGCCCGTGTGCGTTCTCAAATGCACCTTTATGTTGCTCTTGTTCAGGAAACCCCTGTTGCAAATGGAACATCTGTGCACGGGCTTCTCCTTGCCCCCTATCAATCCTGATTCGGTCCCGTAAGGCAACGCCGTCGCCCCTGTTGCCGGGCTCTTCTTGGACGGGTTCTGGGAGGCGGGGGCGGGCCTCGACCTCTTCCTGGGGTGGGAGGGGGCGGCGAAGGAGGAGTGCAGGAGGTGGTCGGGGCTGCACGAGGTGGACACTCTGCCGGGCGGGCTGACGGGCGGATAGGGGCTGGTCGAGGACGGGGTCTCCCCGCAGGACGTGTTCTGGAGCGCTGCGTTCGCCGATTGCAATCTCGCGTTGATCAACGGCGCGTAACCGTGCGTCAACAAACTTTGCAACGTGGATCCGTGCTGCTGGGCCTGGGTCGAGGGTGTCGCCGTCCCGTATATCTGTGAATAAGGACTGGGCGACGTGGTCTCCTGCGCCTTCGGGGAGCACGCCGTGTCGATCCAATCGGCGATATCGATCCAGTCCCGGGACGCCTCGGGGTCGTGCTCCGACCCCGCCCCGTTCCCGCCGCCCGGCACCGTCGTGTCGGCTATCGCCGACCCGATTATCTCCGCTATGTCCTCGATGTCGTAGTCGACCGGCTGCGACGATTGCGGCAATTGTTGTTGGTGATGTTGATGATGATGCTGTTGCTGCTGATGTTGTTGGTGTTGCTGCTGTTGCTGCTGTTGCTGCTGCTGCTGCTGCTGCTGCTGCTGCTGCTTCTGGCTACCCTGGGGGCACGGAGTGCTCGAGGACACGACGGGGGGCTCGTAGTACTCCTGATTGGAGGAGGACGTGGGGGAGGAGGAGGGTAGGGAGGGCCTCTGCGCGGACGAGGCTATGGTGTGATAGTGGTGGCCGGGTATGCCGTTGATGCTGAGGTGGCCGGTGTAGCCGGTGAAGGGCGGAAGGGGTTTCAACTCGGCCAGCGACTGCGCGGATGCGACGCCGACCGACGAGCCGAGGAGGAGGGTGTCCCACGCGTCCTGCAGACCAGCTGCCGTTTGCTTCACGTCCGGTGGCTCGAGGAAATCCGGCCCCGTCGCGCCCCAAGGCGACAGCAGCAGGCTGTCGACCCCGACCACCTCGGCCGGTGAACCGCCGACCACGATCCCCGTCCCCTGGCTGCTGTGCGGGGGCTCCACCCCGGAGGAGGTGAGGTGCGGGGGGGCCGCGGGCGGCCCCGACTGGGTCTCGTACTTCATCTCGATGACGATATCCGAGGTTGGCGACACTGCGCCCACCGAGGCGCAGGGTGGCGCGATCCCGTCCTTAGGCAGCGAGCCGCCTCCCCCGCCACGATCGCCCCCGCCCCTCCCAGCCGCGGAGGACGACGAGGGGGGCGCCTGCTTCCCGTGGACGCGCCTCCCGGACGGGGATACGATGTCGTAGGGCGACGCGGCGCCTAGCGCCTCCTCCCCCTCGCCCGTGTCCACAACCTCCCTCGACGACGATTGGCCGACCACGAGTTGGGGGTAGTCTAGCTTGCCGCCTCGGCCGGCCGCCGCCTGCGACGCGCTCGCCTCGACTCCCTTCGCCGCCCTCTGATGGTGGCGGTGGCGCTGATGCTGGTGCTGGTCCTGCTGCTGGTCCCCGGTGGCCGGTGCCTCGGCCGGCGGGGGATGATACTCGAGCTTGGCGCAGGAGGGCCTCGGGAGGAGGAGGGGGGGCGGCTGCTCCTCGGCGGTGTCGTTTCGCTGGCGTTGGCAGGGGGTGGCGGAGGAGATCCGCGACGAGGTGGACAGCAACGAGGTGAGGAGGGATGCGTTGAAGGTGGACGAGGAGGACGGCGACGAGACGCTCCCCGCCCTTCGTTCCTCCGCTCGTATCTTCGGGTATTCCTCCGTCTTGATCCGGACGTTCAGGGACGATAGGATTCCGTTGAGGGGATCCGGGGCGTCGTGCTGGCTCGTCGTCCCTTCGGTGTTGTGGTGGTGGTGGTGGTGGTGGTGGTGGTGGTGGTGGTGGTGGGGGGCCTCCGAGGGGGAGGCGGTGGTGGTGAGGAGCGCGGAGAGGATTAGATTGCCGGCCGTTGACGACGAGGACGACGACGACGATGGTTCCGGCGACGAGGAGGCGATGCCGTACACGGTTGCGGGCGAGGCTACGGCATCGGCGGGCCGCGCTAGCGTATCCGCGCGGCCGAGGCCCGGCGTCGAGCACGAAGGGGGCAAGTTGGGGGAGACACCGTAGGCCGTGGACGCGTTCCTGCACGTGGACGCGTTCGACTGGTGGTTCGACGGGTGATGCTGGTGATGATGAAGGTGGGACGGATGGTGGTGGCGTTGGCCGTGATGGGACGGACTATTCGCGTTACGGCTCGGCGGCGAACAGAACTGAAAAGCGCCGCTACCACCGTTGTTATCCGGTGCCCCCTCGTCGATCCTTGGGGGCCCAGGGGTCGAGGGGAAGAGGGAACCAGGATTCCACCAGGGATCCACTCTACTGCCGGGGGTGCTGCAACCGCCAACGGCGCCGCGGGGACCTGCAACAGCCAATTTTCATTTCTTTCGTTTTCGAAAAGTTTTCCATCGTCATCATCTCCTTTCGATGATTCCCCTTTCGTTCGATGCCGACGACGAGAGGGGAGAAGGTTTTGTTCTTTTCCCGAGGTATAGGTGCTTGCGTATGCACGTAACGTTTCGCTATTTCAAACAATACGATACGTTTTTTTAAAAACAACGGTAATAACAACGCGTGCGTCTACAGGTAAAGGTACACGTACGCGATATACGGGCGCGTATAAATGTACACATGTACGCGAGCGCGTGTATCGCGAAGTTAAGTAGGCAGATACCACTTCTCTCGAGAAGAAAGACTTGCTCCTGTTAACTAGGTTAGTGGCACGCTAGCCAGCCACGGCTCGGTACACTCGACCAACCAAATTGCCGCGTTTAAAAATATATTTTTCGAACGATCGTCGCTAGCTAGAAAAATATCGGGAAAGGAAGAAGAGGAAGAAGGAAGAAACGTTCGTTCGGGAAAATACCACGATAATAACAATAATAATAATGAAACAGATCGAACCGAAGACCCTAGGGATCCCTAGATTTCCAAAACTTAAGAATCGCTACGAACCGAACACCCTAAAGATCCATAGATTTCCAAAACTTAAGAATTCCTACGAACCGAACACCCTAAAGATCCATAGATTTCCAAAACTTAAGAATCGTTAGGAACCGAACACTCTAAAGATCCCTAGACTTCCAAAATTTAAGAATCGCTAGCGAACCGAAGACCCTAGAGATCCCTAAACTTCCAAAATTTAAGAATCGCAAAGCTCAAAAAGACGAAGAGAAAGAGAAAAGAAGAGGAGGAAGAAGAAGAATACGATCGAGAATTCTTTGTTCTCCGAATTCTTTTATTTCCATTCGATATTGGCTCGCTCTATAATTTCTCTCTCTCTCTCTTTCTCTTTTCCTCGATATTCCTCGATTGACACATCCGCGTGGCCGTAGGATCACGTCATGGGAATCATGCAAATGGTCGGGCACGTATACGTACGAGAGCCCCTCCCCCCTCTCCGATCCCCTCCCCCCACTCGCGGATCGCCCCGCTCGAGCACGCCGTATCCGTCCTTGTCGTCGGTTAGAACCCCGTCCTTGTCGATTGCGGACGAGCGGTAGACGAGCGTTGGAGGTCCCCGCTCGCGGGACCGAGAGAAGGAGGAGGAGGAGGGGAGGGGAGCAGGGGCTGCCGTGACGTGTTCACCGGGTACCGTTACTCCAATGGCGTGGACTCGCGAGTCCCCCTCCCCCCTCGACCGCTCCAACGATCGATCAGAAGCGGGGAACAACGGTCCCACTTTTTCGAGCCTACGACAATGTCTCAGTGAGCTACTTATCAATGGGATCACCGGGTATCCGACCGATTCGCCTTTATCGATTTACCGAAGATACCGAACATCCTATGCATTCGTTGGACGCACGCGTGTTTCACACGTTACCCTATATATCACCGAGGAGAGATTCTTTTTAATAATTATTAAAGTATGTATATGTATATACATATATATATATATATGTATCATTTTGATACAAAAAGAAAAATGGGAGAGACGAGAATTACCTCGGTGGTAGAGTAATAATCGCGAGTGGAAAAGAAAAAGGGATTTTATGGAGCCCAGGTCTGATCGTACGAATTGGCGTGCGTTGGAAGCGAAAAGGAGCCGCATCCGCGACCGCTCGTGACTATACGCCGAAACTATACCGCGCTCGCGTTATAGTGGGGGCCCGAAGTAGGCCGGAGCACCGTTACAGCCCGGTGCACGGGTCGAAGCCTACGCAAATCGGCTAGATTTTGTCCGGATGGCTTTCCTTTTCGTTGTGAAAAATGGCGCGTGCGAGCCATTGGTCCCCGCGCTGACACACTTTTGCCCCGCGCAGCCGCGACGCGACACACGCGCAACGAGGATCGGATCGGATCGGATCGGATCGGATCGGACGACGGGACCATCGATCACGCCGGCCCTCTCTTGCGCTTCGCTCCATCTTCGAGCCCCGCTCCCTTCGAGCCTCCGCCATTGAATCCGTGATTACGATTTACTTCATTATTCAACCGCGTATATATTGCACATATTTCCTAGTAACAATTTTTCCTAGTAATAATCACTAGAGTTATTCGAAATTATTTATTCATGTCTTTTGCGAACGTAAGAGAGGGCGGAAGAATTTCTTTTCGGGAAGAAACGCGCGTAATGGTGATCACGTGACTCGCGAGCAGGGAGTCCTCGCACTTGTTCGAGTCTACTATAGTTTACCGCGGCGGGTAAACTATATCCGAGCGGTGTACACGGCAAGGGGAAACGGAAGTAGGTCGAAGCACCGTTACGAGTTGCGCTCGTACGGAGAGGTGGCCTACGCAAAACCAGTCGGATTTTGCTAGGCGCGCGAGCCATGGCTTTCCTTTTCGTTACGAAAAATGGCGCGTGCGAATCGCGGTTCCCCATCGCGGTGACCCACATTAACGAGAAACGAGTCACACTCGTACTCGTTGCACGCACGTACGTACGAAGCGGCACCTATGGCATCGGCCATCCCGATGCGTCGAAACCTTACGCGCGAGCAAAACGTGAAATTTTTCAGATCCGAGATAAAGAGATAAAGATTTTTCTCTTTCTTTCTTTTCCCCCCCCTGATCATTCGCTTTTTAATCATTCGCGTACGAAAACATCGAGAGGATGGACAGAACGATAGATAAGAGGAGTAAATACGTTCTTCGTCTTTTGTTCCTTCGTTTGGGAATTTTGGGAAACGAGAGGAATGGAATTATTTTGGGCGGAAGTCATCGTTACGAGGAGATCGGCCATTTAGATCGTATTAGGAATGCGTTTCGTCGACTTTCGCATTTAATCGCGCATTTTCAAGAGATAAACGTCGAGTCGAAATGAGGGTGTTATCTTTATCTATCATAGCGGTACAGTTGAAACGGGATTATATTTAGAACCTTCATTAGCTGTGGAGCGATTAAGCTAAGGTTAACTATGTGGGTTATTTGGACGAACTTTGGACGTAAATACGACGACCAAGGATCGTGGATTACTTTCATTCGAGAATTGGATTCGTGTCTCGCATAAATGAAAAAAATCCCCCGTCGAACGGAAATTCCACGCCTGCATGGAAATCGGAGACTTGAACGCCGGCAAAAGCGTAACGCCTGCCCCGTAGCGCTTCGCATTCCACCCGTGCAAAAATACCTCGTCTTTGAGTCACTCTCGCGTCCAACCGCCTACGCTCGTTGTACCGTATATAATATTATAATTCGATTTCGGGACGAAAAATTTGTATTGGAAATTAAATCAAACGATGAAACGATCATAATTATCGTATCGCATCGATCCGGAAGAAAATCATCTCAAAAAATCACTTCACCGCGAGGCGAGTGAAGATCCTTATCCGCTGCGAGAGAAATTGCCCCCTCCCCCCAACCGAACTCCGTCGCTCCGGTATTCGCCTCAATGTCGACATCAAAATGCGTCGTAGCCTCATAGAGGCGCGTACGAAGCGCGTACGCGAGAGAACCTGGCACCGGAGGTGCTGCCAACGGAGAAAGTGCGCCGACTATTAAGGTAAAGGTTAAAAGAAGACGAGGGAGAGGCGAATAAAATCGAGGCAAATGTACGCGATTAAAAGAAGATTAAAAAGAAGATTAAAAAGAAAAAGAAGAAAAAAAAAAAAAAAAGAAAAAAATCTCTCGTTATAATCTACGCGAGATATAAGCGAAATAATTCGAACCGATTCCCCTTTCCCGCCATTCCCTCCCCCCCCTCCTTCCTACCGATTGACGCGCGAACACGCGATACGAATTCGCGATTAATTGAATCGAAGAGATCGATGCAGATGCGGAATCGATCGAGAGGGAGGAGGAGGAAGAGTAGCGGTACTCGGTAAGAGATCCACCGGCGATGAACAAAGCGAGGCGAGCACGAGGGGACGCGACCGTGGACGCGAGTCTCTGGCCGAGGTATATCTATAGATCGCTTGCGGAACTGACGAGTCGGAAGCCCTCCCTCCTTCCTCCCTCCTCCCCCCTCCCACTCCCTCCGTTAGCCCGGCTTTGGAATACCGGTTAATGTGGTACACTGACCTACTCTCGAGCCACGCCGCTACCACCAGGGAATACCCCACCACGCTGTTATTCTCTCTTCCTTCTCGTTCCTCTCTCCTTCCTCGTCCCTCCAACGGCATTCCCTTTCTGCCTCCGTAATTCTATCTCCCTCTCTCTCTCGTCTCGTCTCGGAATCGTTGGATCATATCCAGGCCCCCACATCTCTCTCTCTTTCTTCACTCGGTTGGTCCTTAGTAAAAACAGCCTCCCCGACGTGTCTTTTCCTACCGACTTTGCCTCGCTTGCTTACAATTTCACAGCCGCTTCCTCTTTCTTCGTCCTCGATTCTCTCGTTCCCGGAAGATCCAGTGCAGAATGCGCGTACATCGAAAGTTTTCGAAGTTTTGAAAAATATTAAAGGTAAGAAATCTATCCCTATCCTTTCCTTCGTATCTTCGAACGATTCGATCAAAATTCCGGGATGAAACGTATCTCGACTCGAGAAGAAAGAGGAGGAAAAGGCTCGAGATGTTTACTCTCGAAGAGAGAGAGAGAGAGAGAAAAAGAAGAAGACGAAGAAGAAGAAAAAGAAGGAGAAGGTATATACACTTGCTGAAACGCGACCAATATGCAATATTGGAGCATTGACCTAGGTCGAATCTGTCCAATTTACTCGAGCGTGACGAATTTTCCCGGGAATATGTTGGCCGACCGACCGTGCTCGTAATTGGCCGAAATACGAGCACACCGGCGAGAAATCGAACCGAATGCTCGTGACACTGACACTGCACGCTCGAGCCAATCGTGGATTGGCATCGTGGAGCAACGAACCGCCTCGCGAGATGTCTACAACCTCACGCCAACACGTCGATCTCCCCCTCCCTCCTTCCTCTCCTCCCTCCCCTCCCCACCCCACTCGAGGCCGTCCGCTAAAGCTAAAGGAAGTCACTCGGGAGAAATTTCACCTCGCCAGCCTCCGTCTCTCTCTTTCGTCTCCGCGTATAATCTTCCTTATTCCTACTTCGTTCCTCTTCTTCGCTCCTCGATATCCGAATACCTTAATAGCCGTGTCGCCTTCTCTAAATGTCAAAGAACCACCGAGAGAGAGAGAGAGACGCCGATATTGCTCGCCGTATCTAGCTTTTTTTGCGCGTATAATATATATATATGTGTATATATATATATATATATCGTACGATGTGTAGGTAAGGTACGCGTTCGACGCTCGATGGAAATTGCGCGCGAGAGATTCGAAATTTCGTGGTCTCGGTCAAGGACAAGGACGTTGTTTTCGAATAAAGAGTAACGTGTAACGTGTAATCGTGTTTCTCGAGGAAGAGGAGACGTGTAACGTGACGATCGGTTACGATCGTAAATTTATACACAACGGGGAAAGACGAGAGCAAAGACGACAAAGGTAGAATTTATTCGTTCGAACGGATGGCCCGGACACGGGGCTATGATTTGTCGTTTCTCGAAACGAAGGGGAAGGAGAGAGAGACGGGCGCTCTCTGGCTAGGCGATTGCGGCACCAGGATCGCCAAGATCGTGAACAAAGATATCTCGTAAAATAAATATCTCTTCCAGAAACGGTTTTACCCTCGTTATTACTTATTCAACGGTTAACTTACGTTGTTCGAGTTGGCTCGACGCGAAAACAGAATTTCCTAACTATATAAATATATACGCGATGGCGCAATTTCTTATATCATTGCAATCCGATCCTTCCATCCCTCTCGGTTTTAATTTAACACTCGATTTTCGATTGAAACTCAAACTTTTGAGAAATTGTGTTTGAAATTTTGGACGAGTAACCGTTGTGCGAATAGAAAGTACGAAATAATAGTAGGGGAAAAATATAATAACAGAAGAGATTTCGTTGTTCAATGAAGGAATGAAAGCTGTCAAATTTTTACGACGAGATTTCGGTCGTTAATATATACACCGGCGGTCCGAAATACCGAAATGCTTTCATGCTGCGGAGGATCCTCCTTTATGACACGGTTACCAGTACCCGTTACTAACTGTTAGGTTTTAGTGCCAGGTCCCACTGACACGTTGCGAACGGCCTCTCGAAACGAATCGAAGGATAACGATATTTTCAATTGTCAATTTCTTTATCACGATTTGTTCGCGTTATAAAATTTTGCGGTTAACTTTTCGATTTTTTTTTTTTTTGTTTCTTCTTTTTCAATCCAATTATCCATTATTAGACCTCGCATACATAGATTTACGTGGATTTCTATTAAAATCGTACAATAATATTCTTCTCTGTGATATTTCTTCTCTTTCTTTTTTTTTTTATCTTTTCTCATATCACGTGCAAGATTTCCATACCGATTCAAATTTCCTACAAATTATATAAATATATTTCTACTATATTCCGTCTATGTTACGTAAAATACCAATTTTTCTTTTTTCTCTTTTCTCTCTCTCTCTCTTTCTCTCTTCAATACGCTCTAAAACAGGCGTATCAGATGGTTTATTATCCGATAAATTCGCCAGATATAATCTTTTTTTACGCCGTGTTTCCTCGATTTCTCAATTTCTAGTAATGTCTTCGACTTCTTACTGGGTCGCATCGGTAGCACTCTCTAAAAGAATTCTTCCTCAACACTGTTCCGGAAGAATTCCAGTCCATTCAAACAAGTAGACCTGACCTTCCTTTACGATACATATACATGCATACATATATATATAAACATCGTATATATCCAAGGATAACCAGCTTGCCTATCGTTTAAGCTTAACATCCTGTATTCATTTCGGATGCTACCTGGCTAGGCTTTTGTTGAAACAAAAGAGAGAAAGGGAGAGAGAGAGAGAGAGAGAAAACACGAAAAAGAAGAAGAAGAAAAAAAAAAGTCGGCCGGAATTCGCAACTTCGATCGTGAATACGAGACACGGGTTCTATCGTTAGAAAGCGTGGTAACTCGAGTGACGTATGTGGTACAAGAAATTCTGAGCAGGAATCGATTCATAAAAATGCAACGACGTTTGTTTTACCAAACGTTCCCCTTCGCGAATAATTCATCGATCAATCCTCGAATTATTATCGAATTTAATCCAATTATCGCCTCGTTTACGATTTCTTTCCTCAGAATCTTGGAAGAATCTTAGAAGAAGGAAGTTTGTTAAGAGAGAGAGAGAGAGAGAGAGAGAGAGACACACGTTTTCTTCGATATTTACAATATTTACATTTGAATCCTCGATATTCGAGGACCTGGCGCGATGGCTGGACGTTCGCTACCTTTCGATCTTTCGGATCGACGAAGAGAAATATGGAATCCGGCCATCGTGCCCGTTGAAGAGATATGTATATATATATATATAAACGATAAGATAATTACATATGAGCAGCGTGGTATCCAGAGTGGAATTGTTGATGTCCTCAGGACCTTCCCTTATAAATCTATTCACAGAACGAGACACTTGTTGTTGTTCACCGTTGCGGGGCTCAGCTTTCTTCGAGAACGAAGTATCAAGATCACTTGTAAAAGACTTCACCTGTCACGGCTTAGCACCGAAGGGAAAAGGGAACGAGAGAGAGAGAGAGAGAAAGAGAGAGAGAATGCCGAACAATAACGGGGTGAGGAGTGACGTGGAGAGGAGAAAAAGTAAAAAAAAAATAAAAAAAAAAAAAAGAAGAAGTATATGTATATATATGTATATAAAAAAAAAAAAAAAAGAAGAATAAATAAGAGAGAGAAACGTACTCTTTTCCCCCCCTATGTATCTCAACGACGAAAGCACAAAATCGTGTCTGTAAGTGGACGGCATTCGATCGAAAATCGTCCAATATCCCCGAGAATAATCGGAGGAGAGATGACCGACCGAGCCGAACTTTCACTGCGATGCCCTTCCTCTTCTTCTCTTCCTCGTGCTCTTCTTCTCTTCTTCCTCCTCTTCTCCTCCTCGAGCATCCAGTGCGCTATCACCACCCTCGCCGAATCGCCCGAATAGGTGGCAACCGATGCGCGTCCCAGCATAGATCGGCTGGGGGAATTATGACGGGCAGGGCGGCCCTTGACCTTGTCCAGAGCCGCCTTCCAACACTGTCAACCGACCAACAACACTCCTTTCGTCCTTTCCACCTTCGCTCTTCCTTTCTTCCTTCCTTCCTTCCTTCCTTCCTTCCTTGCTTGGGCAGAGAAAGAGATCACGATCACTCGTATGCACGCACGTATACGACCACTGACGTTCAAACTCTCACGATACTCTCTTCTCTTTTTTCACGATTCCCCTTGCGATTACCCTATATATATATATATGTATATATATATACGAGCCACTCGCGCGAAAATTTAATTAAAATTGAAATTTTTCGTACAAACGATCCGAGTCCCGATATCCCGTTTCCTTTATCCCATTTATTATCCCCGGCTTGAAAACTCTTTCCTCCTGTCTCGTCAATTCCGTACTATCCTTACGTTCCGCTTGATAACGTCACGGGCGAACGCGAGTGTGAAAGAGACGGAGACAGAGAGAGAGAGAGAGAGAGAGGGAGGGAAAGAGGGAAAGAGGGAAAGAGAAAGAAGAAAGACAGTGAAACAGAACGAGCATTAGAGGGTGGGAGGGAGGGTGGGAGAGGAAGGGAGAGAGAGAGAGAGAGAGAGAGAGGAAGGGAAAGAAAGGAAAGAGAGATAGCGGAGGGAGGCCTCGTAGATGCAGCACGAACAGGAGAGAGGCCTGTGGCTCGCGTGGCGCCGGACGAGATGCGACTAATTCCTAAAAGTAGGCGAGGAAGAAACGAACTGGATGGCCTGTGGGCCCTTACTGCGAGGGGTCTTACGCGGTGCCGACCGACAGGGGCCCCTACTTGCGTGCACCAGCCAGAGGGGGACCCTCGAACCCCCCACTCGCCGGCTATATACCTTCTTCCCCCTCCCTGCCCGCCTGCTCTTCTTCCACCACCTTCGTCCCGCACCATTTTCCCGCTGTACAACCTCCACCACGCTTCGAGCCGATCCACTGAATTCCCTCCATGCCCGATCCGCATTTGTAACGGGGTATCGGGCTGTCCGGAGACAAATGCTTGAGCTTCGTCTCCCCCCTCCCCGATCTCCATCTCGATAGACGTTAACGAAACGAAAAACGATCCATGGGCGGTTATGGTGAATGAGAACATTGAATTTGTCGAATCGAGGAATAATATATGTATATGTATGTGTATGTATATATATATATATATATTTATATTTAATTTATATTTAATTTATGTTTATATATTTAATTATTTATATTTATATTTATATTTAAATTTCTTTGAAAATATTCTATTTCTTAATTTTTTCTCCATAGATTTTTTGTTCCTTGTTTGAGCGATTTTAAGAATCGAACGAGGTTAGTGTTGAACGAATCAGATATATATAATATCGTTTCTCTTTTTCCTTTTCGCAGCATTCTTCAATTTCTTCAAACGCTCCATTTTCCTTCCCTAACGTGTCCATTAATTACAACAAAAGTGAAACGTGTGTATACTATTGTATTGTATGGTGATGACGATTCTTTAAAAAAGAAGTGCAACAGGTATGGTATAGTATAGTGTATAGTTATATATAGTGTGGTGTTGGGGATCGTTCGTTATCGTAGCGCGGCTTATCGATTTTTGTACGATTTTTGTCGATCGGATCGATAATTAATCAGGGTTTCTTCTTTTTACTACTACGTCGTTTTGTATCGTATGTTTTGAGCGTTTAATTGGTGGAGGCGAGAATTTCGTAATTTTTACCTTCACCGGGCACACAGGCGAACACTTGTATCCGCAACGGCCAGGGAAACGCGTAAAAGCGTTTATGCACACGTAAGTACACTATTCGAAACGATTCTTTTTCTCTTCTTTTGTTCTACATTCCTTTTTCCCTTTTTTTTCTCTCTCCAGACTGTGGAATTGGAATCAACATTGAAAAATCAAGATTGAAGACATTGAGGATCAACATTGATCTTCTGCATGGAAAGGATTTTAATTTAATAAAATAAAATAAATTTAATTTAATAAAATAAATTTCGAAATATATCCCGAAAGTGTAATACAGTGAACAAATTCGCTGGAAACGTTTCTCTCAAATTTTCTCCCGGAATTGTCAATCCCGTAACGAGGAAATGAAACTTAGGTTAGGTGAATTTTCGAAAAAAAANAAAAAAAAAAAAAAAAAAAAGAAAAGAAGAAACGGTCAGTAACCCTTTCAAAAGAGTTTTTACAGTTACCCTACAAATCCGTGACAATGGTACAGCCCCTGAGGGAGAGAAAAAAAGAAGCAGAACTTTTGAGGAAGTTCCGGGAGAAAAAAAAATTGGTTACCGCTAGTTTACAAATAAATGAACCTATCGACACGAAGAGCGTAATCTTTCCAGCTGTTGGAAAGATCTTGGGTCGAAAAAAATCCCTCCTTCTCTTCAAAGAACAGAATGGAATTCGCCAATGGAGTAATATTCCTTCTCCCGTGTCGAAGAATTCGAATATTTCGAGGAATTGGCGATACAAAAAAAAAATAATTAATCGTCACAAGATTTTTTTTAAAACAATTTTTTAAGAAACGTTTCGCCTAAACGATTTGCTTCGTAATAATTGTTGTATAACTTTCGATTAATTAGGCGTCGAAGCCAACTCCTCCCCCACACGGCCGCCACGCGGTCGAGGAAGGCCTCTTTTCTTCTCTCTCTCTCTCTCTCTTTCTCTCTCCTTGACGCAACGTCAAGGAACGTCGTCGTCGGAAGGGAGGGAGGGAGGGGGAGGCCCTTTCCGCGAATTCGAACAAACAGGGGCCCCACTTCTCCCCTACGACGGGTCGGTTACACTTTCGCTACTGCGACTAGTGGTACCACTCGACCGCCTTCCTCCTCCTCCTCCTCCTCTTTCGCGAGCATCGGTACGACCAGATCGACCTAATTGTTCTCCAAGTTTATTTGAAAAGTATGCGAATCGTGAGATCGGTGCTCGGTGATCCGGAAACGGCGATCCGGAGACGATTTTATATATATATGTGTGTGTGTGTTTGTGTATAGTATATGTGTGTGTATATATGTGGTACGAAGGAGTTAGGAGGATCATAGCGCCATCTCGATTCCTTCGAAAATGGAAAAGTTTTGGATATTATTTATTTGGATTTATTTAAATAATAAATGTTATTATTTATTAATTATATTATATTATATTATATTATTTTATGTTATATTATATTATATTATATTATATTTATATTATATTATATTTATTGTATTATATATTATTTAATTATTATATTATTATATTATTATATTATGTTATATTTATTAATTATATTATTTGAATATTATCCAGTGTGTACTATGCATGTTATGATGCGAGTAATTTGGATTTATTTAAATAATAAATGTTATTATTTATTAATTATATTATATTTATTATATTATATATTATTTAATTATTATATTATTATATTATATTATATTATTTGAATATTATTCAGTGTATACTATGCATGTTAGGATGCAATGGCGAGTAATTTGGATTTATTTAAATAATAAATATTATTATTTATTAATTATATTGTATTATATTATATTTATTGTATTATGTATTATTTAATTATTATATTATTATTATATATTATATATTATATATTTTATATATTATTATTATATTATATTTATTAATTATATTATATGAATATTATCCAGTATGCATGTTAGGATGCAACGGCGAGTGATAGGATCAAATTTGTGTATTTATTTATTTATTTTTATTAATTCGTGTTAACGAGAACGCGAAAGAGAATTGGCGGACGTGTGTTTCTGAAAGGGAGATGTAAGTAATAGTCATTGGAGGTTCCTGTTTGAAAAGTCAGGAAAACAACGGCTGAAGATCTCGTTTATTACCAGCAGTAAAATTCTGCAATCGAATAATCCTAACGGTTCGAGATTCGGGAAGGTTTGACGAGGGACTTAAGGATTTTGACCATGACCTTGGGAACAAACAAAGATCATAAATTACATCACCTTCCACGTGAATCCACGGTTCTCGATTGTCAAAATATTTAGGCGTGTTTCGTTTGTTTGTTCTTTTTTCATCTTTTTATAAATATTCAAAACATCGAATATCAAATATTTTGTATATATATATTATACTGTTTCATCGTATAAATTTACAAATTTATATACACATTATAACAAATTGTTATTGCAACAAATTGTTATTGCAACAAATTGTTATTACTATGACAACAGATGATAAATTGGATGTTAAATTATTTAATCGATAGACTAATATTAAGAAGGTATTTAAATAGCGAGCGAACGTTTATTATCCCTTTTACCGCTTCTTTCCTATTGTCTCGCTTAAAGATTAAATCCCCGGCTGAAATATTCATTCGATACCTGCCATTTGTGCCTTCCATTCATAAGATGATAAATTGCATACATTGTTCCGAGCATAGACATTCGGGCACAAAGGAACAGCCGACAGCGATGACACGTGGACGGCACGAAGCTGAGGACCGACAACAAGGAACGTGCCCAGGATCTCGAAGGAACACGTGTGTCGCAGCCGGGGAGATATTTACTTGTTATCGAAAAACTTTGGAAAATTTACGATGGTCGCGCGTCGAAAACACGACACGCGTTACGTTTCAAATATTTACATTCAGTATTCCTCCTTAAAAATTTTCGTGCCTGTATCGTTTACGCGCACCACGTGTTACGAAGTTTTCGAGTTGTTCGCACAATTCTTCCTCTAGTTCTTCCCCTCGTTCGACGAAACGACTCACGAGTTCACCATTCTCTCAGCTCGATGAATGGAAGTCTTCGTGTATACAGTTTAAAGTAGGTAGGTGTCTGAAAAATGTGAAACGAGATATATATGAAATATGGGAGTATATAACACTTTCGATTTAACGAGAACTCGTTAAAATGGGACAAAATGATTTTTAAGATTTATTATTAGAATTGTTATTGCTCAATAAAAATTATTTCTCGCGTTATATACTTATATGAAGAATAAAGGAGAAGCCTTCCAAGTTGTCAATTGGAACGCAATAACATAAGGAGACGATTGAAGTGATCGAAGTCGACGAAGCGGTCCCAAGATGGAGGCGATAAAGGCGAATCAACTCATCCAACTCGACGAGTTTCATTTTAAATGCTTTTTCCAATTGAAAGACAGGAGGCCGTGGAAAATGCAATGCCTAAAAAAATTGATGAATCAGTTTTGGAGTAAAAAGTAACCGTTTTCTGCACCCGAAAACGGTTCTTCAAGAAACGGTAAAGGAAGAAAGGGGCTTACCTTGCGAAACGCACCGAGACTTCCGTATTGTCGGTGCAACGAACTCGAAAAAAAGGGTCTCCTCTTCCGGGATCAGGAAAAGCGACGAGGAAGAAAAGGGCCGTGAATAATCGGTCGTCTCGCAACACGGTTCCCCTTTATACATGCTTAAGTAGTACGAGTCTAAATATTGCGAGCCGCGATTCCCTACGGTCGACCCACCTGTGGTGTCTCCATGCAACGCCACCGAAAATATTTTGCCACGCGAGATTCGACACGCTTCCTCGGAGGCTAAGCTTCCAAAATGTAAATACCATTGTGACGAGGTCTCTAAGTCGGGTCTTTAACGCTCCTGAAATTTTATTATTATTTAGAGATATAACTTTCCTTCTATTATTATAGAAATTAGATTATTGCCACGCGAGATTTGGCACGCTTCCAAGATGTAAATACGATTGTGACGAGGTCTCTGGAATTTTTATTTTAAACTTTACTCGGTTATTATTCAAAAATATAACTTTTGTTCAATAATTTATTATAGAAATTAGATTATTGCCACATGATGACGTCTCTGAAATTTTTATTTTAAATTTTTTACTTATTATTATTCAGAGATATAACTTTCCTTCGATTATTATAGAAATTAGATTATTGCCACGCGAGATTTGGCACGCTTCCAAAATGTAAATACGATTATGACGAGGTCTCTGTCTGGTCTTTAAGTATACACACTTCTGAAATTTTAATTTTAATTTTAATTTTGATTTTTTACTTATTATTATTCAGAGATATAACTTTCTTTCGATAAACAATTTATTATAGAAATTAGATTACTGCCACGCGAGATTTGGCATGCTTCCAAGATATAAATACGATTGTGACGAGGTCTCTGAAATTTTAAACTTTACTTATTAAACTACGTTTATTATTCAAAAATATAACTTTTATTCAATAATTTATTATAGAAATTAGATTATTGCCACGTGACGAGGTCTCTGAAATTTTGATTTTAAACTTTACTTATTATTATTCAGAGATATAACTTTCGTTTAATAATTTATTATAGAAATTAAATTATTGCCATGTGAAATTTGATACGCTTCCAAGATGTAAATACGATTGTGACGAGGTCTCAGAAATTTACTTATTATTATTCAAAGATATAATTTTCGATAATTTATTATAGAAATTGGATTATTAGAAATTATGGATATATATACATAGACGAAGTCAAACTTAAGTAACTTAACGCAAAGAGGTTACCTTTGCTTATTGTGATTTTTAGTTCATGCATTTTGCATGAGGCGCATTTTTTCACTGAAAACACGCAGCGTCACCTGATTGCGGCATTCAAGCCGCGAAGAAAGTCGGCGGTGAACGATGGACCATCTATCGTTACCGGGAGATATCAAAAATTTACGACGCCAGGAAAGTAGGTTCGCATACATAAAACAACGTGTACGAGAAGTCAAGTGTGAATTGTGCGTTTGAAGTGGTTACATACTTACATTGTATTCCGTGAACGTGGAGGATGTAAAGATTCAATTTGTAGAGGAATAGAATAAAAAGTGTGCGAATCTTAACACGCGGTTGAAAAGTAGTAGTCCTAGAAATAATCGTTACCTTATTATTATTCTTATTTGATAGAAACGAAAAAAAGAACGAAATTTAAAAAATTATTAAATCTGGATTAAATCTTAAAACTCGATCGATACATGTATATATAATCATTTTTCGAAATTTTAAAATTCCAATTTAAGAAGTACTTGGGAGCAAATACCTGAGTCGGTCAGGGAACAGGTATGGAAGATTTCAGAACGGAAGACCGTAAATAATTCGACAGGTTTCGATGACACTTAAATCCTGCGACGATTGTTAGTAAACACGACGAGGAAATTCTAACTTTCGAAAATTGGACAGAAGTTGGACAACGGTCCCTGTACAATGATGCAGCTGAAAATTTACGGTGGCAAAGAAAAACGATTTGCGGCCCCCGATTGTGGCCACTGCATCTCGTTTCAACATTGTGTCTAACACCTGTATGAATCTTCCCCTCCGAGACCTTGGCCAGGAAATTATCTCGAAGGTGTTATCGTAAAAAAATTATAAACTTTTATGTTCTTCTTCTTCGATATACGCATTCTAGTATGAATATTTTACACTTACGATTCGACGTGAATTAACTTGTTTATAGATTATAGATATAGTGTATATAATTTGCAATTGTTAATGTCAACGATTGTTTCAACGGGACCGCAATTTCGCAAGGCGTGGAAAATTGGAGATGTTATCTCGCGAGAGCCGCAAACGATGGACGGCTCCCTCTGTAAAATTTGACCGTAGTAAATCGGGCGAAAAGCACGGTCTGTGGGTCTCTAGTGGGCACCGACCATCCTTTCATTGCGTTTTACCCAACAAGCTGTACACTTGGCCAATTCAATTTTGACCAAAACAATTTTACAGACAGACCGTCAGTTGCAACAAAAAGAATCCCACGGTGTGATGTCGTAAATTTCGCAAAGCAGCAACAACTCCGTACCTTCCTCATCGCTCCAGCTTTAAGAAAAATTTCCTTGTTCGCCAGGATAATTGTTCTTCAAGGTCGACGTTGCGCAATTCTCTCTCGAGGGAGAAATTAAGCTACTGAAACGATAGAATAGAATAAGAATAGAAAAAGAAAAAAAGAATTACTCGTAAATAAATCGTAACTATTATTATCGCGTGTAAGAACGTGATAATCGTAATGCGCGAAATCGATAAGGCGTGTAAATAGATCGAGATCGAAATCTCGAAGAAACGAAATTTCACGCGGTAATAAAAACTGCACGGGCACACAAGAAAGCAGAGAAACATCTGCAACGCATGTATACTCCTACGTATTCGAAAGAGGATGAGGCAATCCGCAAACACCGCGTCTGACGCGTGCGTTTGTTCGTAGGAAGTCGGTAGCCGATTACCAGAAGTCTGCTAATTGGAAAAAGGTGGCTGGATGATGTCTCGATCGGCCTTGCCAAGGACTTGCCTGCCCGTTCTCCGATTAAACGGCCGGTGGCACGCGTACGAGCCTCCAACCTATATGTATACGCATGCGCATACCTGTACGACATCACACGTACGATTTCAGAAACGCACAACCTCGTTTACAAGCGTCCATACGTTACGTACGTGTGCGCGCGCATAAACGTATAGGAAAGAACGGAGAGAAGTCGGGGCCGAAGACCGAGTGAAACTTCTGCTCGTGGTATATCCTACCACATTGCTCGATGACTAGAGATAGGCGTTAAGTGTGACACACACGCGTGACCAAAAGGCGTACGTGATAGCGTACAGGTGTGCGAGGAACGAGAGGAACAGGTAGAGATGGCAAACCTGGGTGGGCGCGTGCACACCACTTCGAACGTCGATACGGATGTTACGCGCACACGAACTCATGAGAAAACTTTACTCGCGTTGCCGTTACACGCTCGTGGCCATTGGTGAGCCTGCGCGGTTGTTACATAAATATGCGCGAGCCGTATCGCTTCCTTTTTTAACAATCCGTTTCGTAATTGTTTATCACGCCGAGACGAGCGCCGGCATGATCGCTGGTGAACGGCGAACTCGTTGTGTTTCGAGGCTGACGCCCCACAATACAGAATTTGACGGCGCGCGTATCGCGTGTATATATATATATATATATACACATATATGTTGCATGTTGCGTGTATTACATGGAGGAATAGTAACGTTTTGCAAATGCAGATCTTGGATTTAATTTCCTGTTAATAACATAGATTAAGGTTTTTTTTTATGAAAGATGTTTACGGCGTTTTCTTTTATAAATATATAATATATCGGGAGAGTAGAGTCGAAAGTATCTAATAAACGTATTAAATAATTCATCATATATATGATACTCGTAATCGAAAATTTTAAATATATGGATAATAATTATGGAAAATACGATTGATTAGTAGTAATAATATTTTAAAAGATACGTTAAAAAATAATCTACGACAAGCGTAAAGAGAAATAATCGTTTCAAGTAAAAGTAAGCCATTCTACGATTATTCGTCACTAGGCTCAAATAAGAAAAGTAAAGAAAATGGACAAATAGGTTCCGCATGAGTTAAGCGATACACGGAAAGTTGGATGGATAGAAATAACCACCTGTTACTTCAAAGAAACCCACCAGGATCCATTTTTAAAACGTATCGTTATTTATCAAAGAAAAGTGAATTTTACATTTAAATGAAACTTTAAAAAACTCTAAATTATATAAATCACTTTTCATTAAACATTATATTTTATATTTTAATTTTCTATCGTTCAGAAAATGGAAAGATATTATTAAAAATTACTCAAATCAAGTTTGCAACAAAAATTCTCCTCTTCGAATTCAATCATTGATATTATGACATCAAACTCTTTACCCTCTCCCTACTTAATTCAGGTTCGACACGTGAACGCGAACGTGGTAAAATTAGCCACGACGTATCACGTTCACGGAATTGGAAGGGACGGAGATTCGAAGCTTCACGTGGGGGCCATCGTCGCGGTTCCCAGTTGTTACGTTGAGGAAGTCACGCGGCCCTCGAGGCCCCGAGGCCTCAAAAAGAATGAGGACATTCCGTGCAGCGTGGGGGCCCCCTGTTCCAAACCAGGTTCCGGATTTGGGTATACCAGAATCAACGAGGGAGGGAGAAATTTGGGCAACGATCAAACTCTCCGTGGTGTCATCCCAATTCTCGAAAGCGTAACTAGGTAAAGGTAGGTTCCGTCTCTATTGCCCTAGCTCCGCGAACGAAACGTATGACCCAGTTCAGTTCGTCGGACAGACGAAAAAGAAAAAAGAAAAAAAAAAGGCCAATTGACGGCTAGGTTGATACTGGTATGCGTGGTCGGTTGGCGCGATCGTAAAAATAATCCTGTCTGTGGCGTGTTGCCTCTCGTAAAGTTTTTTTTTATCAAGAACCGCCGGCAAAAAATGTTCTAAATTCCATGATAAAAGAAGGAGATTACCGAGATTATTCTTTATTAATTATAATCTTAACTGGAAGTAGAACAAGCAGAGAAAAAAATCGACCACCGAAATTAACGGGGATCCTTTGTAGTTTATACGATGAAAGATGAAAGACGGACCGTTTGAAAGTGATATAAACACGTGTTTTTAACAAGTATACGAAACGAATGCAAACATGATCGATGTGATATATACCTCTCTTGTATTTTTTTCTGATATTCTGAATCTCTTTTGATTTTCCAAAATCAAGTGTTCCAATAATTTTAAATAAAACTTATTGTACATAGAAACAAAAATTATTCATCATCTTGAAAATCCTTTTGTTTCATTTCATCTATAATAAAAAGAATTTCAATCAATTAATAATATAACTATATATATTAATAATATAACTAATATCTACATTATTATCCAATGGTTACTATCTATGTATTTAAAAATTTAATAATAACGCAACAATATGTCTTTTCTCCTCTTCTCAATGCAATATCATGTGCGATTATACTCGGTCCCGTGATCTATCAAACGCTTTCAAAAGGTTAGGTAGCCAGGTCGATTGGGGCACAAAGTCAATACTGGTCTGAAACAAACAAAGAAGAAGAGGTTAGAAGGGAAACAAAAACGAAGAAGAAGAAGAAAACAATAGGGAAGAGAGTGGGAGGCGGAAGAAGGATTGTTCCCAGTTTGTTTGGTATCAGAAACCAAGAGTGGGTCGCAACAGTGATAACGAATTGCTCACGATTTTAACGTAGCCGGTTGTTCATTTTCTCCTTCCATCCCGTTGCTTCAAGCCGCTATCCATCGTGACGATTCTCGCCGTCTTGTATTCACGACGATGATGGCAAAAAGTCGAGCGTATCGACTACCTCTTTTTCGTGCACCGCTCTCCGCCTCTCCGTGCAGGATTTCAGCCTTGCTCTTCCAGTTTTGTCCTGTTTACCAAGTGGGACAATTGAGATGGAGAGTAAAACGCGGGAGTGAAGTAGTTGCGGATTACACGCGGCCACCATTTTCTGTAGATACAGTTATACACGGATATCTGTCATTCTTTTCACGGATAAATATTTCACGAGTTTAGTTTGGCGCGATCTAAATTCGAATGCGAATTTCAATTCTTAGAATCTCGTGTGAAATGGATTCACCATAATTAAATTACTTTGATAAAAAAACTCTTTTCTTTATATCAAATTATTTAACTTTTTACCGATAGAGTTACATATAAAGTTATATACCCAAGTTTTTAAACATTTCTAATTTGAAATATTAATCCAATATTTTTATACATTCCTATGAAGATTTAAGCGTGTTTTTTTTTTAAATCAAAATTCATTGGAATTCGTTTTATAATATGATTATTTAAAATGTACAATCGTAAAGTAACACGAAAGTAAAAACAAAAATAAAATTCAAAAAAAAAAAAATAAGAAAAGGAAACATACAATATCAATATGCATAACGCGGATACATCAACGTTGAGAATTTTAATGTGTCACAGGATACGAATCTAATCTTCATCATAGAATGATGCATTCTGGAACGCAATATTTTAATAGCGCCAGAGGACACAAGTAAATAAGTAAAGTAAAATGAAATCGTAAGTAAAACAATTCTTTTAACAAATCCAATTTTTTTAATCTGTTCTATCAAAGCGAGCCCAATTGAAACATACGTACGTATATACATAAACATAAACATAAATTCTTAGAAATTTACCGTAAAATTATCGCCCTCGTTGCTCGAGGCGCAGTTACTTTCGGTTCACGGTGGTGCAGGCTCGAATGAAAAATTCACGAACCAGCATCAGGATTGCAATCAGGTCCGCAAGTAAATCTTCCAAGGACGACGTACACAAGCGTGTGTACGAGAGGCGGAAACGCGGTGTGTACGGGCATTAAAGCATAGCGACAACGGCAGAACGATGTATATAGCAGCATAGTATAACATAGGTAAGTATGTTTGTGGGTCAGTGGCACGAGAGCTGCCCGCTGCCACCGCCGCCACCGCCACCACAATGAACCAGTACCGTCGCATGGTAAAATCGTGTATACCTACTACATACATTATACAGATCGTGAACTGCCATTGTTCTTGAACTTGTACGCACACGCACCAACAGTTTACGCGTTGGCTAATACATATAACACCAACATGTATTCCATATTACGTACACATATTCTATGACCACGGAGAAAACCACAGGGCGATCATTGATAAAGAGAAATTGGCCCTATTGCAACTTGCCGCTGGCTTCTTTTCGTGTACGTCAGCTCTCTTGATCGATCGCTATATTGTTGCTAATGATTTACGCCGCTTCCACGCTTCCAATGATTCTTACGCTTCCACAATCTTATCTTCGATCATTCTTGAATGAATCGGTATACGAAAAAAAGATATTTAGTTACTTTGACTATGTCAGATTTCTGATATATCAGAATTGACAATGTGTAAATAAATTATAAATAAATACTTGCTATCATGTTATAATATCACGCGATAAATTCACGCTACGAATCAAAAAAAGAAGCGACAATTTGAGAACGATCGATCGTGACTAATCGGCCAAGTCGGTGTCCAATTCCTCGGTAGCGTAGGTAAGTAGGTATCCTCGAGGTTCTCGACAAAAGTTTTTCTATGTGGTTGAAATTTTTGCTCGGATTTTACATAATATTATTTTCATGCAGCTTATTTATTGCGCTATGGCCCTGTATAAAATATTATCTCTCTGTTTCTATCCATATTTATCTGTTTATACTATATTTATAAATAAAAAAAATATACGTACAGATGTCGTGAAAGCTCATCATGATTCTTTAACTCATTTTTATCGCAATCGAGTGTTTCTTTCATTGAAAAATTTTTTAATTTAAGAAAAATATCATTATATGTATATCATTTATTATATGTGATTTCAATGAAATCATTCTTTAGATTATAAGAGTTTCTCAATAGCATCAAGAATTTCTGGAATAAAGAATAAAATATTGCGTACAAATAATTTTTAGAAAGTTTTCTGTCTTGTTCAACATGAAAAAAACTACAATAGAATATAAGGATTAATTTTGAATGTCAAAATTAATATAAAAACTTATATAAAAGCTATAAAATAAATATATAATCGTAAATATAGTGCACGCTTGTTTTGGGACGAAATAATTATTCGACTAGGTAAGTTGTTCATGAAACGTATAGAAAGATGTTTCATAACAATTGGACTGTTCACCGGCAATATCATTGCACGGTATGTACTTACATTCGTGAGTTCGTTGCACCGGTTGCCATTGCAACATTTTTATAATTACATTGTAGCTATGCCACTATTACCATTTTGCAAATATATTGTAAAAATAAACAATATCATTGGAATACATTCGATACACTGTACCGCTTAAAAGTTGTCAATTGCTGATTTATATAAATACGATCATTTTTCTCCTCATGAACTGAAGCGAAACAGTGAGCGAGTCCTTCAATGCTTTACAATTTTGCAAGGATTTATCAAGGATATGTTATAAATTTAAAAAAAGAATAGAATAATAAAAATTTGAATAATAAAAAGATAGAATAAACAAAAACATTCATTTTAATCATTATTTCATTCTTTGTTAAAGGACTAAAGATGTTTACGTAGATATTACTTGAACAAAAAATTTTTTTAAAATATTAATTACAATCATAATATTATATTAGTTAGTTATAAGTTTTATTTAAAGAAAAATCTACTTACTATTCATAAAAGAAACACTCGAATCCTCATATTATCTGCTAATAACTCTCATTAAGGAAACTTACTATTATCCCTAGCAGATAAGAAGATCTTGACATTACAGCTGGATGTCAAACCTGTACACATTAATTCATAAAATGAGAAAAGACAAGGGCAAGAGAAAGAGAATTTTTTCGGTCAAGTTGCGCTATAATTATACAGTTAAACGTTAGGTTAACGGTCGTGCTTAGAATTTCGGACATTTTGAGACAGCAAAATTAATAGATACACATACGCATTAGATATAAGATTTACATTAGATATAAGATTTATCTTGACATTCGAGAAAATTATGTCAAACTCGCATGTTATTCATCACTTCCTTGACTTAAATAGAATGACGCGCGGTTAGTAGGATACGAAGGAGGTTAGAAATAAAAATAATAGCGATTATCGTATATGAAACATTTTATCCTATCTCTTTCTTATTTCTTTTAATTTTATGATAGACACGGACAATTCACTAAATGACATGAGTTTTTTTGTCGACATGGGAAGTATATTTATGGTCATGCATGTCGTTTATTTAGGACTCACTTTTACTTGGATACGAAACACGAGGCTTGAAAACGAGAACACTAATGACCACATAAAGATTCCGCTGAGAAAAGAACCCTCTACCGGTTGCATGTTATTGAAACTTATTTAAAATAATAATTTTAAAATAAATATTAAATACTTAATGATGTTCATTTCTTTGTTCAATTATTTGAAATTATATATATTATAATAATTAATAATTAATTAAAATAAATTCCAATATTTAATAAAAATATAAATATATACAGAAGAAATATAGAAAAATAAAAAAAAGACATCGATAGAAGCAAAATAGAAAAAAAATATTCATTATTAATGTTCTGTTTTTTATAAAGATTTGAAAGTTTAACAATATATGATCAAAAATAGATTAAAATGATACGCGATATGATATATGCCATGTTAATTACAGTAAACATATCATGGTAAACATATTATAACCTAACTAATCGTGACTCATAGTTGAAGGAAAAAAAACGTGAAACATGATACGATCGCGATTACATATTTGAAAATTATTATTATTTAGCATTTTATTTTCATTTTGACATTCTATTTCAACTTAAATGAAATAATAATGTCGAAATAATTCATTGAGCCTCATTTCAGCGAATCGAAAAATTGGATAAATTAGCTATTGAAGCATGGGAGATAGTAACGATGTCACGATTTCGCACGATCTCCTTTTTTTCTTTCTTTCGTTTTAGAATGGTCATAGAAAAAGAGTGCGTGGCCAGTGGTGTGTGCCGAAGCATAACACGCTGTACTCCGCGGTGGCATTACTACTTCGTTACGCTCGTGTATTTTTCCGAAACTTTATTCTTGTGCGATCGTTGGCAAGGAAGGTCCGTCAAGCGTAGAAAAATTAACGACGTCGTATCCGCGTAATTAATTAACGTACCGAATAAATTCGTATGAGGGACGTTATCCAATCTAACCTATAAAAATATTATGACGAATGCACCCTAAATAAATTGACCGAATACTCAATATGGACATTTGTTTTAAAACAATTTGAAATTCTATTGAAATCTTAGATAATATATTTCAAAAGATTGAGAAAAAATTTAATATAAATTATATATGTTGAAAAAAGAATATAATATAACTCATTACTTACAGATATTTATATGTCTATAAAAAAGAAAAATGTGGACATAAGAATATCTCAAATTATTTAGATTCTTTTTACATAAAACATATTAAAATAGAATTTTTATTTTTTTCTATATATATTCTTTAACTTTCACCATTATATCATGGAAATTGACAAAGTTAGTCGAAATTTTATTTTGATTGATATCGCTACTTCGATCTGATTAATTCTTTTCGATTCGATTAATCGAATGATCGAAATTTTATATCTATGTACCTAATTCAATGAAAAACAATTTTTTTAATATAAATATTATAAAATTTTTATGCTTGAAATAAATGCTTGAATAAATTTATCAATTAAATATAGTTGCAAAAGAATTAATTAAGAATTAACAATTTCGAAGAAACTAATTCTATTATTTGCAAAACAAAGATCGAGATAGACGTAGAAAAGACAAGAAATAAACAGAGTTGAAAGGTTATCAATTGTTTCTTTGAGTTCATTCGAGATACATTATACTACGTAACTTTAGATGTTTGTATAATTCACTTTTTGGCCGCAAAATTATCAAGCATAATATAATAGCAATAAACATTGTCCGACTAGCCAGGTAAACGGACCAGGAGGCTACCGTGTACCTGAATTTCGTAACCGAGTCTAATTTAAAGACATTCTTCACGGAAGTTTGGTGGTGTGCATGCTTTAAAACGCTTGCAATTCCATTTTTAGAAACTTGATAAAATATTTTTTCGAAAATAAGTATTTCAATAATGATGTAACGAAACAAAAAAAAAAAGAAATAAATTTGAAAAATCAAATTATTTTATCGTAAAATTTTTTTTAATATTATTTTTTTTTTTTTTTGAATTCTAAGAAATAATTACATATGTACAAAAAATATTTTTCCATTTAATACAAAAATTGATTTTTTTGGATTCATAATTTATTAAAATCAATCCAATATCTAATAAATGACAATATAATATAATTATATCGTATCCAATATATATGATTTTTAATGCACAATCTAGTCACATATCTTAAACGTACGGAATTTTCCACTTTGTAAAAATGTTTCGCTCTGAATCTTGCTTACGTGAAAAATAAAAGACATGATGATTTTACTTTTTAACGTAGAACATGTATTATATTTACAGCACGCTTTACCTTCATGATAGATACCCCAGAATATTCTAGGTTAGTATGTCAGCGATTCATGGGGTGCGAGATCTTGGAAAGAAAAAAGAACGCATGTATCCGAAGACTGAAGAGATTCTCTGATCTCCCACCTTCTGATTTACTATAACTATATCGGGACTCATCGTATAAACTGACCTAACGGAGCCAACTCGACGATTCGTTTAGACAGAATAATGAATCCTCTTCACTTTTATCTACTATTTTTATATATTATAAAACACATTGAAAAGTGCGAACTATTTTTCGTATCTGGCCACAAGTTTCTAAAATATATGCATGCCTCGTGTCGTAATTATGATATGTAAGTACATAGTTACTCGTAAATTAACAAAAGATATTTTTATTCCGATAATTTATAGAATTTTTATCCACATGGAATTAAAAATTTTTGAATTTGCAAAAATTTCTTTGATGCTCGCATTGAAAATATTTGTATATTGTTTTTAATTTAAAATAGTTGATAATTCATTTTTATATAAAAAAGTTTAAAAACAATTAACATATTTTAGAATTTTTTTATGATTTAAATTTCATATTGTAAATTGTAAATCACAGATTGTAGATATATTTGTAACTTTGTGTTTTTATTTAATATTAGATAAATAAAATAATGTTCTAATTTTATTTTTAATCTTACTTAATTAATATTAATAAATAATATTAATAATAAAAAAATACATTATTTAAAAAAAATATATATATATATTTATATAATTATATTTATGATGCTAATATTTATTAAATATACACTGCATCAATAAATTTATTCGAATTTCTGATATCATATTTATTATTATCCTAATTCTACACTTTAGTTCGTTGTTTTGCTTTCTCTTTCGGGAGTGGCATGCTCTAGTTCGCCTGGCCACGAAACCGTCCATCCATCAGTACGTCCTCTGGCTTATATTCTATGACTTCGATTTTATACAATTCAGATGTAAAGTATATTAAATCAAATCGGCAAGAAGCGAAGTGAATCGTTATATGAATCAAACAAGAACAACAAATATATTTTATTTATTTTTATCACAGTGAATATATACAATTATATATATATATATATAATTTAAAAGTATATATTATTATGTAAATAATTACAAATATATTACAAATAAACTTTGTATTGTATAACAATATTGTATAACAATATATAAAATATATATCAAAAATAATATTTTATTTCAACAATTGTAATTATATATACATATTTTATCAAGAAATAAATATTTTTTACTTTAATTATTATCTATTTTATTATATTATATAAAATTTTTATCTATATGTATAATAATATGCAATATCTAAAATTATGTTGCATATTATATAAATTTATATATTGTTATTATCAATTTATTTTGTATAAATTTTAAATAAAATTTTTAAATTTTAAAAAGATAATTATAATATAAAAAATTAATAGTTAAGAAAAAAAAAAGATAATAAATGAAAATAATAAAAATCAATTTATAATTTCCATATCTAGATACATAACAAGAGATTTCAACAAATATTTAACTATTAACTATATTTAAAATTATTGGATTAATAGAAATTCAACAAATTGGAATAAGAGATTCAATAAATCAAATTCAGTTTTAACCAAAAAATGATTTTTTATAAAAAAAATATAAATTATAAATATTAAAATATTGATATTAATATAAATTGAGATAATTTTGATTTAAAAAATTTAAGAATAATATTTTTTAATTTCTGTAAGTAAAGATTTTTCGCTTGATTCATTTATTTCTATGAATTTCTTATTTGCCCTACTAAAATAATAAATATCACCAGTATAAATATCAAACCATAGTGCATGAATATGCAAATCATGTCTTTCCAATCGTTTTTTTAAAAATCCATAAGAAGCTATATTTTGTAATTGTTGTAAGGTATTTATCTGAAATTAAAATATATTTATTTAAAATAAATTTCACTTTGTTGTAATTAAATATGTGCATAAAATATATATATATGTATAACAGATTAAATTTGATTAATTTGTATTTATACTAACTTGAGATAATTTATCTTCTACGCTGAATTTATCTTCAGGATCAATATAAGCCACAAATTTTCGTAAAGATGTCTCACCTTGAAAAAGTATCGGGTCACGGAAATCAGTGATTTCAAGCTGTTGAAATCTCGCTAAACTACTACTAGCATGTGCAAAAAGCCATGCTTTTAATGGCGATATCCTTCTATTTACCTAAAATTAAAATATATTTATTTAAAATAAATTTCACTATGTTGTAATTATATCTTATAAATTCGCAAAATAGATTTAAAAATAATAATAAAATTAATTAAGTATATACTTTCGATGCTAATTCTTCCTCGCGCAAAGAATATAACATATTCATAGCTTTACAATCGCTATGGCCGCAAACTATAATGTGTTTTATTTCGTTCATCAAACAAACAAGTTCTAAGGCTGCCGGTTCACACATTGCTAACTCGTCCTCAAAATGCTGAGAATGAGGAATAATATTACCAGCATTTCTTACTGAAAAACATAAAATTCATGATAAAACTTATCTATAGGAAAAAAGAATACATTTTCGATTTCGTCATTCTGAAATCGAATATTTGTTTTTCTAATCATTAATATGATATTTATTTAATTAGTAAAATTAAAAAAATACTTATTTAAGTACAAATATAAAAAATGTTGCAATAACATTATCATTAAATTGCATCGTGAAATTACCAAAAAAACAAGTTTCATATTCGAGAATATAATGTCATCGTGAAATCTCGTACCAACAAACATGTCTCCAACGTTTGTTTCCGTAAATCTAGTTGGAATCATCCGGGAATCCATGCAGGTAAAGAATGCTGCTTTTGGCTATGATAAGAGTAACGACGTATATAAATCGATTACATTAGTAAGTATTAGTACTGTACTTTAGATTAGTAAAATGTAATTTGTGTTAATTGCAACATATATTATTTATTCTTTCAATATAAATGATGAATATATTTTTTAAATAAATTAAATAGATATTATATAATTAATATAATTTTCATGCATGATAATATCTTCCAGAATAAATGCAATGTTTTTTTTGTTTTTTTTGTTTTTTTTGTAAATGATTCTTTAGTTCAAAGACGTACGTAAATAAGATAATCATATTCAAAATAAATGTGATAAAAAAATCATATTCAAAAGAAACTTGTTCTTTTACAAATGATAAAAAAAATTTATTTTATTTAAATTTTATTATATTTTTAGGATATATTTTTCATTATAAATGTCAAAATATTATAAACATAATTTAAAAATAAACATATCATGAGATAAAAAGTATATCACAAAAAAATAAACACATTTATAAATGATTAACATTAAATTAGATAAAATAATTTTTACATACTTCAGGACAGTCTTTAACTTTTTGAAATTGTTTCACCATTTCTTCCCTATGGCACTTTCTATATTTCATTATTCCTTTAATTATTTTATCCATATTCAAACTCTATAAAATCTGAATTGTTTTATTAGTCTAAAAGAATGACACTCACAAATTCGCCATTAATGCACAAATGGCGGGAATTTTAAATATATCTTCAGACTAGTTGAGTATTCATAAATATTACGTAACATTTCTTTTTTTTTTTTATTTCAATAGAATATTATAATTAAGTTTAATAATCATTTTACTTATTTGTATAATAAAAAAATATAGTTTAATGATACATGTAAAAGTATAAGACTTCATTATTCCCTTTCTTTTATTATTTTTCCATAAATACAGCTATAAAAAAATTCAAACAAGTTCAATATCATTTTATATCAAAAAATACTGATCAAAATTTTATACAAAATATAACATAATTTAACACTATCATTTAAATTGAAAGACAATTATTTATTAATTGTTATAATGACATGGTTAGTATAATAAGTATATACATTGTTGTATTAAAACATATAATATAATTTAAAAAAATATATGTTTTCATAACAGGCCAGATTTACTATACAGAAATAAGAACGCTATACGTAATATTATAAAACCAGGAAAATGCTTAATCTAGAAAACCATGTTTTATCTAAGAGCCAAGAGATTATTTATTATAAGTGAATAACAATATATTTCACTTAATATGATAATGACATATAATAGATATTTATTTATATTTATTTATATTTATTAATATACATATATGTCAAAATTTTTAAATATTTTTTATTAATAAATTTTTTTTATTAATTTTTATATAAAATAAAGTATGAATAATTTAAAATATTTTTTATCAAAGAATATCATTCTTTAAGAATAATATTTATCATAATGGTTGAAATTATTTATTCATTAACAAAATTATTTTAATTAATAAAAAGAAAAAAAAATTCTTATTTTTTTCACCTTTATTTTGATGATTCTCTTTTAAAATGACTCTTAGATTCAATAATGATTAACAGCCTGGACCCGGGTGACAACGCGCCTGGGTCGAGCTGATTTCTATCTACTTAATGCTGAACTTTGACTAGCACGTTCTAGTTTCTCAAAATGTTTTCGGGCATTACGAATATTGATTAATGTTGCTGCTGATGCTGAAATAATACGAAAATAAGTATTTCATTATTCATTATAAAAAAAATTAAAATTATAAATACTTACGAATAGCAGGATCCGACATAATAACCATTACATATGTATTCGATGTAAATACATCGATAAAAGCCGCAAAATTTGTATTTCTAACTTCCATACTTTGAAACTGTGCTGCCAGTTTACTAAAAGATATGATTTTATTATAAATATATATTCAAACCAATTTTTATATTGATTTTTACTTTTATTTCTGCAATTTACCTGCAACTCAATTTGAATTGTTTTATTATATTAGATACTTTTTCAAATCGATGTACATCTCTATGATGTTGTCTTTGACAATAGCTAATCACTAAAAATGTTGCTCTTTCAAATAAAAGTACTTCATCAGCATCAATAATATTTGTAAATTGTTTCAAACTTTGTTCGAGTTCTTTCACGTTTGGAATTAACATATATACGATTGAAGACCATGCTCTAAAAATATAATAATTTATGTAAAATTATAAAATATTATAAATTGAAATCATTATATAGTTATAAAAATATACCTATATAATGTTTCATCCCATATACTAGTTCTGAAACAAGTACATTCAAGGGGCAAACTAAGTCTTTTCAAATCTTCTTCTCTTTCTCTAAATATCAAATCTCTTTGATCCTCTTGTACTAAATCCATTTTATGTACTAAACAGAATATTTTTGCTTCTGGACTATTTTGTAATATTGCTTCTAAGCAACTTTGATAATAATGCATGTCTTTATCTAATTCTCTGGATTCTACATCAAAAACATAGATCAAAACTTCTACATTTCTAAATATATTATCACGTTGTGATGCAAAATAATTTTCCATAAATGCTTCTTGACCACCACAATCCCAAAGATTTAATACCAAATTACCAAGAAATCGAACATGACTATGTTCTACATCAACTATTAAATATAATAAGTTAATAAATATATGTATATATAATATAAAATATAATATTTAATAAAATAACAATATTCAAATATTACATACTTGTTGCTCCCAAACGACGAGTATCACGAGCAATATAATTAGCAAAAATTATGCTACGCATACTGGTTTTTCCTGAACCACTTTTACCCATCAACAAAACCTAAAAAATAAATAATGATCATATATAAAACATAAAAAACCAATATATAAATAAATAAATTATTAAATAATTTTAATTCTATACAAAAAATAAAAACAAAATTTATGTACCTTTTTCTTCATCTTGAATTAATAATGTCAAACTTAAGAATTAATTAAAACTGATTTTGATAACTTTTCTTTTGTAAAAAGTGATTGATTAATTATTTTGACCTGTAACATATAATTAAATAATATAATATAATTCTACAATTAAATAACTTCCATTATATTTGTGATAATGCACATACGTTAAATATGTCGTCAAATGTCAAATTTCATATCGAGGTTATTTTATATTATTTGATGAATCATAAATATAGTAGATATAACTTTATGACCTGTAATAAAAACACTAGTCTTTTTGTTGACTTATAAATAGCATTAAATATAATTCATAGATATTTCATTTACATAAAACAATGATTATAAAAAACGAAAATAACGATTTCCTTAACAGTAAACAGTCTTATTATATGAAAAATGGTTACTTTTTATTTCTTTGCTGTGATTACCAATTTCTAGTAGCTAACTTCACACATATTATCATTATTCAAGTATCATTTAAAGATAAGATTAAATCAAATTGATTATTAAAAATTATATTTGATAATATGATCTATAATAAAAATATGTTTATTATTATAATATATTAATGTACATTATTATCATCAATATTTTTATTATATATTATTTAATATTCATATATTTAAATATTATTTAAATATTATTTAAATATTAAAGAATTTAATCATCTTATTTTTTATTCTTTATTTTTGAATTTTTAAATTATATTTTTTTATAATTTAGAAATAAATATTTTTAATTTTATTTTTTAAATATTACATATTATATTATTTTAATTTAAAATAATGAAAAATATTATGATTATTATTATAAACTAATTTAAACATTTTTAAATAATATAATAATATAATTAATATGAAAATTAAAAAAAAATGAAATATTAATATTTGGTATATAATTTATTAAAATTTAAATACATATAATGATTAATATAAAAAATATATGATAAACAAATAATTCTTTTTTGAATTTAATTTTTTATATAAAATAGAAATATAATCAATATATTATTAAAATTTTATTATACCTCTAATATAATATTTTCAATGAAAAAATCATTTAAAGAAAAGTTTCTAATATAACTAATATTTATATAAATTTATCAGAATCTTAACTATGCAAAGAACTTACAATCATGCTAAAAATATTCAATTTATTATGAATATAAAGATTTTTATTAATAAATATAGCATTAAGATATCATAGTATTATAATATACCACTTAAAATATAAAAAAATAAAAAAATAAAAAAAAATATTAAATATTAAAAATAAAAAATATTAAAAGATAATAAAAATTATGATTATTTTTTAACTTAGATATAATTATTGATATATTTTTGATCATTGAATATTTGATACAGATATTATGTATAAATATTTATGGTAAAATAATTTTCTTAATAAATTTTTCATTTGATATATATAAAAAAAAGCATATATAAATATATATATATATATATATATATTGCAGATATTATAAATTAAATTAAATTAATTAAATAAATATTTAAAGGATTTATTTCCCAATACAAATTAATAATTACTCTTAATTGAAATTTTTATAGTAAATAACAATAAACATTTATATTATATATTTATTATTATTATATATTTATATTTATAAAATATCAGTTATTATAAATTTATAATAAATTTTATAATCATTAATAATATTTGTGATATTGAAATATTAGTTTTTTTAAACATTCTTTATTATATATATAATTATAAATAATATTAAATCATACATTTTTAATAAGTAAACTTTTAACAATAAAAATTTTTAAATATATTATTAAAATATTAAATTTATTTTCTAATTAAAAATTAAAATAAAGAAATTATATATGAGAAGAATGTAATATTTTTAAATTTATATTTTTAAATAATAAATTTATAAAAATAATCTATAAAAGCATATGTTATCCATTGTAGGAATATGAATAAAAATATCAATAGATACCTACATGAAAATATATAGCAAATAGTTAAAATTATTAAACAATGATTTATATACACAGAATTTTAAGATTTTAAAACATTCTGAATATTCATATTTTTAATTTATCTTCGAAAACTTGCAACATTTCACATAAAGCTTTAATTTTTATGAATAAAACTATAATGAAGTTTATAACAATATTTGTTTTTACATTGGCTAACCTGTAATTGTTCGTTTACAGTCTTACCACCATTTCATTCTATCTTATTCTAAATTTCTTTTTAAATCATATGTATACACATATACATAATCATTATGTTAAGTAATAATAAAGTATAATAAATATAGATGTAGGAAATAAATATATATGTATGTACTAATAATCAAATCTTGTAAATGTCCGAAGAGAAAGATACAGTTAAATAAAAGAGAAAAAAGCAAATGAAAAAGTGAAAAAGAGAAAAAGAAAGAGAAAGGATAAGAGAGAGATACAGAAAGAGAGGGAGTGATCGGTGTTCCACTGGAGGCGCTGTGCAGTGCCAAAGGACCGCGGCGGCGGTGGTGATTCAGACTTCTTATCAATTCTGAAAAGTCGTGGAGAAGAATAGAGAGACATTCGTCGACATTGGGCGTCGATTATATGTACGAAATGAGGTACCATTGATAAGACTCAGAGCGCCGCGCGGTTCCGCCTCCGCCGTGCCCAAACGCGGCACATCACGGACGTGTGGATAAAGCGGCGCCATATATACACGATATACAATCGTATTTTTTCTTTCGCGAATGCGAGAGGATAGAAAAAGGGAGGAGTGAAATATCGTGAGAACGAAAGAGCGAACGCGATACTAATAAAGAAAATCGAGATAAAGAATAAGAAAGTGAAGAAAGAAAGAGAAGGAGTGAGAATTAGAGATCTGTGGATGCGGCGCGGTGTCTGCACCCGTGCGTGAATCACGCTTTCTTGAGGTGCCTGTGTATCCCTCGTCTTCAAGCACACCCCATACTTACATTGACCTGTTCAAGAACGTCGTTATTCGCAATCGAACAAGGCTTTTCATAAATAACTTTTCTAAAACATCTTTCGTGGTGTCATCCACGAAGAGGCATTTTTGCTCCGTTTTGTTTTATATTCTTTACCGGTTATCAAGAATCTATCTGTTTGTGCTCGTGATATAAAACCGGTATTTTAAAAACATCACTTCAACAACATTATTTATTAAATTCAAAGAAACAACTTTTTTTTTCCAAAATAAAAGTGAATGGATCTTAGAATTTCATGTTTTCAACAGACTTGGTGTTTTTGTCAACATAAAAAATTTTCTGTGCACTGTGATTTAAACTCTTAGTCCTTTAGAATTTATATAATATAACAACAATTACGATCTTTATAAGACTTGAGCTAATATTGTTAAACAAATCTTCAAGTAAAACAATAGAAATACATTGTTAAAATAGATTGACAACAAAGAAACAAAAGTAGATACAATATGTCAGATGAAGAAGATAAACCCCCTGCACCTCCTGTGCGACTTACATCAAATAGGTATTATCTTAAATTTATATTTTATGTTGCATTATCATGTATTATAATTTATTAATACCAAGGAATTTTAAAAGCAAAATTTATTATTTAATATTAGAAACTTAAGCATATATTTAAAAATAAATATTTAAAATTTGATTCTGTTTAAAATGTTTAATGTTTAAAATTTGATTGTAGTACTTTAGTTTTGCATAATAAATATAATATACAATATATTTTTGTATTATATTATATATGACTAAAAATTCATGAGTTTTTACATTTTATATTCTTATTATTTTCTTTGCAATAAGTAGAAGTCTGCATCTCCTAAAAATAGAGTAACAGACACTAATCTACTGGTTGCTAAAAATAAAATTGTACAGTTCAGACATGATGACATTCTGATGTGGGAGATCATTCTTTAAAGACTTTATATGTTATTTTGCTAACTATATTTTATAAACATAATATATATGCATATGTACATTATTTTTATATTAATTTTATAAATAATTTACATACATATGAATGATTATAATACTTATATACAAATTCATATGTATATATATATCTATATGTATATTAAAAAGTAAAGATGTAATAAGTAAATATAAATTAAATATAAATTAGTTATATTTTTTATATGATTTTAATTTAATAATAGATAATAAAATTATTTATTATGTAATTGGTATAAAAATTAATTTATAATTTTTATTCATATATAAAATATAGAGATAAATATATAAAAGCAAAATTGTTTTCTCTTATTTAATCAGTGTTAGTATTTAGATGAAATATTAAATTGATTTCAGAGGTGAATCAACACCTAACTTACCAGTGGATATGCGTCCACTACCTAAAGAACCTGATTCTGATGAACGTAAGAAAAAAACGTTGAAAAGCAAAATGAAGGTAAAGGAAAATAAAGATAAACCCAATATTAGTTACCCAACTAATTTTGAACATACAGTTCATGTTGGATTTGATGCTGTTACTGGTGAATTTACGGTAAGTCAATTTATTATTTGCAATTTGTTAATATTGTTCAAAATGCACTCGCTTTCTGCTTTGCTATTATACAATGGTACGGAGTATCCAATAAAGTTTATAAATATATTTGAATATAAATATATTTGTATTTCATTATACTACTAGTTGTACTACTAATATAAATTTTTACAAATTTTATAATAATATTTAATCAGAAAATATTTCTTATTAAATTTTTATATTTATTATTTTTGATAATATAACATTATTAAATTAATATTTATTTCTATATGATATTTAATATTTGTTTTGTAATTCATTGGTTTATTTATTTATTAGGACATTGTATTTTATGAATAAAATAAAAAGAATAAAATTTAAAAATGGAATAAATTGTAGCAATTCATATTAAATAAAATATCCATTTCATGATAAAATCATTTGTATATTTCAATAAATTAATTTTGTGTAAATAATATATTTTTGCAAATTAATTTTAATTCATAAAATTTCATAATATCATAAGATAACATTGTAAAAGCAACTAGTAATGTATTATTAAATATTAATTAATATAAAAAAAATTTTCTTTTTATAAAATCATATCAGATGGATTTTTCGTACCTAAAAAAAATTGAATTTTCATCACTTGTTCACATGTGTATGGACATTGTGGAAAAGTAATTTGGTAATTTGTCTGATGCTTCTTATACCTATTATTTTTTCACATGAAAAACTAACTAGACACGTATTTCTTTCAAGCTGCCATTAAAAGTAAGTAATTTCAAATGACCACAAAAGTAGTTTGTCTGTATTTTTTTTATTATTATATATACACTTAATTTAATTGTTTGTTTTTGTTGCAATCAACAAAATTAAGTTTTTACTTATTATTTGAAATTTAGAATTTATAGATTAGAAGCATAGCTGCTTTAATAGATTAATAGATGCTTTAGTCAACGTTGCATTTGATATTATTGCTTTCTTGCAATAATGAAATTTAATATTAATTTGATTGCTTAAGATCTTACTATTTCTTCTATTTAATAAATAAATTGTTAAATATTTTATTTGCATGATAAAAACTCTTAATTTTAAGAATTTTGAGAATTATATCTTTGTAAATATTATATTCATATATCAGTTACTTTTTAAAAAATTTATATATAAGATTATTAATGATTATTTTGAAACATAATTTTTAATCTTAGGGGATGCCAGAAGCATGGGCAAGATTGCTTATGTCTAGTAATATTAGTAAACAAGAACAGAAGAAAAATCCACAGGCTGTATTAGATGTATTGAATTGGTATGATAGTAGCAGTAAAGAAACAAAAGGTTCCAAATATATGACAACTACAAAAATGGTTGGAGTGGTTGGTAAGTTAATAATTTGTTTAAAAATTAATTTATATTGTCAATATTATTATTATAATAAATTTTATAGTACATTAATAAATCAAAAATGTAACATTTTATGCTCAGCTCCTATTGAAAGAGCGAGTAGTCCTAGAAGCATGGGTATAAGTGTTGGAACAGGAGTAGGAAACATTCGTGGTCAAGCAATGTCACAAGCTTCTGGAAGTTCTCATTCTCAGCATTCACTCAGCAGGTAAATTTTATATTTATAAATTTTTTCTATATTCTTCTGTATTTCTTTCTACATACTTCTACATATATTTAAATATTCATTGAAAAATAACAAATTTATAGAGTAAGTAGCAGTAGTCCAAGTAGTACACCAACAGATGCTTGTGCAACTAGTTCTGAACAGGAAGATGAACCACCACCACCACCAATTTCTGCTAGACCGGAACGTACGAAATCAATTGTAAGTAATTTTGTAAACTATTAAAAATAAAAAATTATTTAAATATAAATATTAAATTAGAGAATAAAACTTTTTATATCAGTATACAAAGCCAATAGAAGAAGAGCCGCCACCACCATTAACTACTACATTAGGATCACCTCAACGAAATGGTACACCTCAACAGCCACACCAATCACAATTGGATAGAAATAAAAATCAAGCTACTCCTACATCGACGACAACTGATCAAACAAGACCAGCGCAAAGTGATAAAGCTAGAAAGAAAAAAATGTCAGATGATGAAATATTAGAAAAATTAAGAACAATTGTAAGTGTAGGAGATCCAAATAGGAAATATACAAAAATGGAAAAAATAGGACAAGGGTAAGTTACATATAAAATATAACTTTTATTTTTTTAACAAATTTTTTGATTTTCATCATTATATATTTATAATATTATTTTTTAGTGCTTCGGGAACAGTATATACAGCAATTGAAACATCAACAGGTATGGAAGTTGCAATAAAACAAATGAACCTTTCACAACAACCAAAGAAGGAATTAATAATAAATGAAATATTAGTCATGCGGGAGAATAAACATCCAAATGTTGTAAATTATTTGGATAGTTATCTCGTAGGAGAAGAATTATGGGTAGTTATGGAATATTTACCTGGTGGTAGTTTAACAGATGTTGTAACTGAAACTTGTATGGATGAGGGTCAAATAGCAGCAGTGTGTAGAGAAGTCCTACAAGCTTTGGAGTTCCTTCATTGTAATCAAGTTATACATAGGGATATTAAATCTGATAATATCCTACTTGGATTAGATGGTGGAGTGAAGTTAACAGATTTTGGATTTTGTGCACAAATTTCACCAGAGCAAAGTAAACGAACTACAATGGTTGGTACACCATATTGGATGGCACCAGAAGTAGTTACAAGAAAGCAATATGGTCCAAAGGTAAAAAAAATGTGTATGTGCATGTGTGTACGTGTATGTGCGCGCACGCGTGTGTAAAAATAAGATATGTTTATTATATTATCATACATTATTTAAAGGTGGATATTTGGTCATTGGGTATAATGGCTATTGAGATGATAGAAGGAGAACCACCATATTTGAATGAAAATCCATTAAGAGCATTATATTTAATTGCAACAAATGGAAAACCAGAAATTAAAGAAAAAGATAAATTATCAGGAATTTTCCAAGATTTTTTGGATCAATGTTTAGAAGTTGAAGTGGAAAAACGATCAGCCGCTTCAGAATTACTCAAGGTAATTTTAATAATATGTTTAAAAAATGAAATATATTTAATATATATCAAATTTAAATAATAATCATATGAAATAAATTTTAATAAAAATTGTAATTTTACAACAAATTGCAGCATCCTTTCTTAAAATTAGCAAGGCCTCTTGCTTCCTTAACACCTTTGATAATGGCAGCGAAGGAAGCTGCTAAAGGTAATTAAAAGAATGGTATATGTGATCATATAACATGATCACAAAGATATAATTTTACAAATAATGAAAAATAATGAATCACCCTCCCAAAATGGAACGGCACAATAATTCAATAATATATAATAAATAATGAATAAACATATATAAATATATAAATATATATACATATATATATATATGTATATGTATATATATACGTATATATATATATATATATATACATATATATATATATATATATATAGATCATAGATAGATAGAACTTATCCGATACCTTGAAAAGTATCGAGAAATGGTTTCAAAGTTTTTAAATTGCTCGATTCTCGCATGTTATGCGGGAGAGGAAATAAAGTTAAATCAGAAAAACTGTGAACGATCTGACGGCAGAAATCTTGTATTCCTCGATGGGTATTTATTAGTTACTAAGAGTTGAACATTTTATTTAAATAGTCTTCAAAATAAATTGTATGTGTGGGTTGTTGCCTGAAAAGCTCTTGTACTAATATTAAACTATCATCGAGGATTTTCAAGCGACTGTCAGTTATTTTCTAAAGATATAAAAGTATTACTGACTCTAAAATTGAAGATCAGAGTTAGCTACAAACATACATTATTTATAGCAAAAACCTTATTAGATAATACCATAAAAAATGTGAACAAGTACATAGGACCTATTCTAATACATTATTATGGTTTAACAAGAAATTGTAGAAAAAAGAAATTGGTCTTCGTGTCAGATTTATATTTTTTGAATGAAGTTATGGAGAACAGAGCAATATGTTTTCAGTCTTTGATCTGTCAGTATGACGTAGATGTATAAGCGATAGCCTAACTTGTTTTAAACGTTCTCAAGAATCACGTTCTTGTCATTGGATGTTAGCAAATTTCATTATGTTATATTAAATTGAATTTTAATAGATTTTTTTTAATATTTGGATATTGCAATTTTTGTATTATGTTAATGTATATATAGTATAGAAAATTAATTTCATATATAATGAAATTTATAATAAATTTAATACATGCAATTCTTATTTAAAATTATTCATTTATAATTGTAAGATAAAATATAAGTACTTTTTCTCATTTGCATCGCTGACGGGACACGTTGGGATATTGACCTTGTTACTAAAATATGTTAGATATAAGAACATCTTTCTATGGACAAATGTCCAGTTACGTGTGTTCTTCAATACAGGTCAAATATAAGTTGTCTTTAACGTGTCTTACAAAAAGTGAACGGATGATCGATGAAATTTTAAAACAAGGTTCAGATATAGGAACATTTTGTGACACTATAAAGTGCCTGTCTTGTCATGTTTAGAGACGTGAAAAACTCGCGCTAGATTCCTTATAATCTTGAACCATCAACAGAATAATTTAATATTTTGTTTAATACAGACACAAACATACAGATCAATAAAAATATATAAATTTACGTTGACAATTATATAAGACAAGGTTTCTAAATGGTTGTACTACATTAAACATAATGATTAATGTCTTTCCTAATTGTATTATATCTTAACCATATACTACTGAAAATGAAACCTTGGATACTTTTAGTTTAAGAAATACACATTTTCAAATTTGTTATTTTTATTCATTGCATTTTCATTACATATAGGGATTTATCATAAACTAAAGCTAAAGAACGCCACGTAAAAGTATAATAGATATTGAAGAAATTAAGAATATATTACATAATATGAAATAAAAAAGAAAAAAACATACATTATTTGGTAATGAACTATCGTATATGTAATATTATATTTATTATTTACTGGGTTTATTATTTTCGTAATATTAAAAAGCCTGATTAGTTTTTTTATATCAATAATGTCTAATTATACTTGACAGACGAAGCAGCTCAGTTCGTATCGCGCTTACGCCTAAATTTGGAGTTATATGCTGAAAGAATTTTATCTAAAGAATCAGGGATAATAATATATAATCACATGAAATTTGTTTCATTTTTCTTTCATTATTCTATAAGAATGGACTCTTGCACTATTTTGTTTCAGTATCAACTCCAAATTATTTAGGATTTGTAAGCAATGATAGGAGGTATAGAGAACAAAAAAAAATAAATGTGCACGTCTAGTATTAATAAACAGTTTCTGTAAAAAAAAAAAAAAAGAAAAAGAAAAAAAAAAAGAAAAAATATACGATTCAGGGTCAAAATTGACGTTAACTCGATCAGAAATACTGAACGAGGTCCTGCATTTTCACAAATATCTTTAGAAAAAAAAAAAAAAAAAGAAAAGAAAAAAAAAAGTAACGTCCATTTTATGTCATTATATTACTGCGGCAGTTATTAAGCGTATTTCAGCTACAAATGGCTATCTATAAGATTTATTTTTATTTTATATTCGCAAATCAAGAAAATTAGATGCAAAATTTACTTGTTTATGTTTCAAAAAAGTATGTAAACAAATAATTAGAAATGTGGATATTTTGAATATTTGTGATATTTTAATGAACTTTGTTTTTTAGTGATCAAAAGTACAAAATTGTATTAATATGCCTTGTTGTAATAAAAGCAAGTATTACTTATAAAATTTAAACTATCTTTATTATTTTAATGTATTAAAAACAATATAATATTTTATTATACATAAAAATAATGTAAATGTTTTGCATCTACATCTTGATTAGTGTTCTAAGTGCATTTATGTATTCTTATAAGAAATGTATTATTGTCAGTTTAAAACTATGAAATAGGTTCCTATACACCAATCAAATATGTATATGTTTTCAATATTTTTTTTATGATGTTTTTGAAAATGCTTTGAGATCTCAATTATAAAACAAATCAGGCCTAGTAACGAAGCCGTTAATTTATTTATACGTCATTAAAGATTTTGGCTTCAAAGTTTTAATAAGAATTCTGTACCTCTATTTATATGAAATTGGCATCTATTATCTAATGGATATATTTGGTAAAAATCTGGTTTCTCAGGAAAACTAATACTTAACAGTGTCGAATTTAAAAATGAAAGAAAGCAGCAAATGAATAATGAATTATTGTAAAAATTATGCCTAGAATTTGCGTATATATTATACTGTAATACCTTTTAGTTTGTTTTGAAACGTTAAAATATAAGGAAACATTTTATAACAAAACATTTATCTTTTTTAAATGAAATCCTTCCTTTCATTTTAATACTAAATAGTAAAATATTATTTTAATAAATATAAAATTAAAAAATAAATTTTTTTAATATTAAAGGATTATGTGAAATCAGAAATAATTATGCGAAATAAAGTTATTATATAATTATTATTTTTATATATTATATTCATTATATGTAACATGAAAAAATAACAGAATGTTTTTATAAATTATTTTGTTTTGCTTCTTAAATGTTTTATATTAATTTATAAATTTTTATATTTTATACACACTAAATGTAATATTTTAGATTTTCATTTAGAGTGTATGTACAGATTTGAATTTATTCTAAGAGATTATAATATAAATATTTACTTAACTTTATCATTATAAATATACATTTTGCATAATAATCTAACAAATGGAATTAAATTCAGAATCTATGATGCATAAATAAAATATAGAATATATGTATTAAGATTTAACATAAAAGTATATGCTGGTATTCATAATATAATTTAAAATATTAAATAAAAAATATAATTTTTGTTTCTTCTTACAGAATAAAAAATAAAAAATGGATAAAATTTTTTAAGCATTTTCAAAAATTTTGAGAAAAATTTGTGTTTTACTAGTTTTATGATGTAATCTTCTTCTCTTCTCCTGCTGGATGGAAGTTTATAGATGCTGAATTGATGCAAAATCGCTTCCTTGTAGGTTTTGGTCCGTCATTAAATACATGTCCCAAATGTGCACCACACTTTGAACAGGTCACCTCGGTCCGCACCATATCTGGGTTTGCGATCAGCAGTAGTAGATTTCCACCAACTGTCAATGGTGAGAGTGAAGTGGTGGTAGCGGGGCAATAGGAAGACAAAGGAAATAGAATTATAGAGTGTGATTAAACGCAGACCAACACCTTTGTTTATGCACTCTAAATGTTTTCCAGTTATAGCAGCATCAAAAAGAGTAAACTAATATTAATAAAAGCAACAGGATGATTGCAATAAAAATTAAAATCAAACCTAAATAACCTAAATAAATTTCAAAAGAAATAAAAATTTTAATTAAAAATAAATATATATTTTATCAATTCTATATTCCAAATAATAATATAAAAAATAGCTACATTCTAATTAATACCCATAATCTTGTTCCTTGTTTTATTCATCCATCGAAGTTCTCTCCAAATTTCTTCTTGAATTTAACTGCCTTGATATTATATCACAAAATTCAAAAATATGTTAAAATAATCCCGAGAAATATTTGCCTCATTAATTAGATTTAGATAGATAATATATTTTTATACTATTTTAATACTATTAATAAAAAGCATTTTTATTTAATTATCACATTAAAACACAGATATTTACATATTATACTTATTGCTTTTACATATTATTACAATCTTTGTATTTATAAATAGCATATAGTTACCATTTCAATAACTAAAAATTAACTAAATATTAAAACCACAATCTACTTAATATTGCATATCATACATTTTTACTTGTCCATATATTTTTACACAAAAAATAAAATTTAACATATCTAATATTAAAAAATATGTAAATTATTTAATAATTAAAATAAAAAAATTATAAAAAATAATTTTAACATAAATTTAAAAATTTCTATGTAATTTTTAAATAAGCGAAGAATTTAACAAAAAAAAAGTTTTTAATATAGAATAAATCCGTAAATATATATAAAAAAATATATATATAAGAATAAATCCGTATAATATATATAACTGAGTCATATTATAATATACATAATATAACTGAGTAGGAGATGACATTTAAAAATTAAAAAAGATTTAATAAATTTTTTTTAATTTTTTAAGTTTTTAAAATTAAAAATTAAATTGATTTTAAAAATTGTCTCTATCCAAAAAAATATTAAATTAGTTTTTATAAAATTTTGATAAACAATTAGATATACATATACTTCGTAAATTAAAAGTATTCGCGATGCATTTGTTATGGTAGTAAAATAAATTAATTCATTAAATAATCAGATTTTATATCTTTTTTTATTTTTATTTAATTATTATATTAAAAAATTTAATAAGTAATTTTTGAAGAATTTGAAAAAAATTAAAAACGATTTCACATTACAATTCGATTATTTTTAATTCATCGAACAATTATGTATATATTAATTATTTTCAATTATATTTGTGACGCAATAAAAAATAATATATAATAATTTATATAAACATTTTATAGTTCTTTTTATCAGATGTTTAATAAACATTAACTTAAATAGAACGAATTTTCAAAATCAATTTTCTTAAAAACGAAACATAAAATGAAAAAATATTATATCAAATTTTTTTCTTATTGCATATAAAATTGTCCTACTTGGTTATATTAATTATTAATTCATCCATATAAAATATAATCTAATCTAAGCTTTAATTTTACGATTATAGTAATTTTATTAAAATCTCAATTATATATAGCAAAGCTAAATAAAAAAATATATGATTAAATAGCAAAAAGTTATAGTTTATTTTTTTTATATATATAAATAAAATACAGAGAAAATAATTTTTAATGCATAATTATAATTTTAGATTATACTAGATGATGTAAGTCTAACACAAATCACACTCTAAGCATTAACATGCAAGGAAAAGGATAAAAGGAATGCTTTTTATATATTATAACTTAAATATTATCAATTATAAAATAAAAAATTATATAAATAATAATGACATTATAAATATGCAAATTATTTTTATTCTTATAAATTAAAAATATATAAATATTTATAATAAAAATCCAATAATATTGATAAAATTGATAAAATTTCCATGCACAAAAAATGTAATTGATAATTGTATTATATAAATTATATTGTATAATTTTTTAAAATAATATATTATTTTATATATTTATATCAAATATAAAATTTGTTTAAAGATTTAATAAAATTAAGTGACACATTATATGGAAGGCTTAAGGATAGAAGAACTAAAAGTATAGGAAAGGTTTTGTGATAGAGTGAATGTGAGAAAAAATTAAGAATATTTAAGAATGGTAAACAGATAAAACTCCAAAGTGTGATAATGTACAATTTATGATAATGTATAGTATTATCATGTAAAAATTAAATTTCATAATACAGAGTTTATCTATGTACCATTTAAGCAGATATTTTTAATTAATATAATGATATGCATAATATCTAATACTATGTTATTATATTAAAAATCCGAGCATAATTCTAAAAAAATTATCAGTAAATTAAAAATTTCATATATACACTTACCATGTGAAGTATCTTTGGTTAGCTTGACTCGTCCCTGATCTAATACTTCATTGAATGCAGGCCAACCACAACCACTGTCGTACTTTGTGTCAGAAGAAAACAACTCTTGATCACAAATTATACAGGTGTATGTGCCTTTTTCATAGAATTTGTTGTAGCAACCGGAAAAAGGTCTATATAAGGGAACAAAAAAGTTGAAAGCATCAAGAAGCATGTATACTAGGAAGTTAATTATGAAGATCTATACTTTATTTTTAAACCACTCGGTCATGACGCAAAGTCAAGCCAACACATGCTCTTGAAAAAGTTATTTTAGTCTCACATCACCTAAAAGTAAACCAGTTTCCACCATACGGCAATATTTTTGGAAAATTGTATCATATAAATGTTGTAATTTATTTGAATCTTTGCGATTAAAATTTCAATAATATAACATTGTTAGTTAAAAATTATACATAAAGAAAAAATCAATATATCAAATTTATTTATTATGACACTTATAATATTATAATAATATATTATAATAAGCCTGAAAAATTTTATAATAAAAAATGAAGATATATTATTAATAGATTATATATTATATACATGAAAATAAAATGATCTATACGTAAATTTTGATTTAAAAATTTTGAATCTTGTAAATTATTATTTACATACATACTATCATACATAACGATAGCAAAATATTCATATTATAGAAAATAATTACAATAAATTTTCCAATAACAGCAAAAATTAATATAAATATGTGGTTTATAAAATAAATAAGGATAGTATGATTCACAATATAATAATAAATAAATTAAATTTCCATCACACGTACCTCTCTGTACCCTTTTCCTGCGTGACGTGCCATTGTAGCGGCGTCAAACGTTTTTTTAATTCTTCTTTATCGATTTCCATAGTCATTTTCCTAATTGAGCCTTAAAATAAATTAAAAAAAAATACAATAATAACAATTTTAATAACACAAAAAAAGAACGCGGGCAACTTGCCGCGCTTTCCTCACAACTATGCAACTATACACCAAGAGAACAGAAGCGGCACTGCTGCCTACTCCTTTGAAGCATGGATGATCAGATTTCGTGACCTTGAGCCAACCAATCAGCTTCTTTGGCAAATAGATTTGATAATTATGCTTTCGCAGTTACACGTGACTTCTATATGGAAAAACTAAAATGATGTGATCTAGATATACAAATTTATGGATTTTTATTTTTTGATAAATAAGAAGAGAGAAAATCTAAAAATAATGTACATTTGTATATCAGTTATTTAAAAATTAATAAAGCATTAATTATTTAACAATTCATATAATAAATATCTATAAGTAATATATAATATGATATAAATAAAATATACAATTTTCTATAATAGATTTATATTATTTTATAATATAATATATTAACAATAAAATATAATGAATATTCCATATTTTAAAAATCTATATATTAATTGATTATACTATTTATAAGTTTTATAATTTTTGGGAAACTTGAAGATAAAAAATTAAAATATACGATAGATTTTTTTAGATTTTATTAAGTTTTAAAATTTTTCAAAAAATGAAATTATTTATATTATTATTATTATTATAAATTCAAGTGGATTATAATAGAGTAAACAATTAAATTCAAAATACATAATGATTTGTATTAATATTCTAATTAGATAGTATTATAGATAGTATTATAGTGACAAATTTAAAGTATTCAAAATATAATTATTGAATAATAAACAATAAAAAAAGATAATGAAAAATTATAATTATAAGTATTAATTAAATTAATATAATTAAATTAATATAATTAAATTTAATATTTAAATATATTTTCTAAAGATTAGTATTTTATAAGATTAATCATTTATAAATATATTTATATTAATTATATATTATATAGAAAAATATTTAAAAATAAATACATTTTACTATATTTATTATATTTTATATTCATATCAAATTATTAAATTATTAAATTTAAAATATTGGTTCAATATATAAAAAGATAAATAAAAAATTTTTATTATAATAAACTTGTATATATTTTTAATCTTAACAAACGAAAAATAGAAAAAAAAAATTAAGAGATATATAAAGATTAAGAGATATGATTAAAAAAAAAATCTTAAAATACAAATAAAATTTTTGCATTTTAATTCTTAATAACAAATTTAAACAATTTAACAAAATTATAATTATTAATGTGAAATAAAAAATATTTAAAATTAACAAACTAAGGTAATTAAAATAATTATTAATTTGTTATTAATGTTAATTTTTTAGAATACGCATTTTAAAACCATTTATATTCAATTCATTTATTTCTTTAATTTTAAGGAATTTATAAAAATTTATTTTGAAATTTGTCGAACTTAATATAAATGAATTTATATAAATGAAAATTTCAAAACATATGAAATATATATTGTTATATTATTATTAGGTATATGTATTAGGTATAATATATATATATTATACAGAAATATATTTTTTATATATTTTAATATTTTCGTAATATTAAAAATATAAATGATTCTTGGCACATTTTTTTTAATATAAATTCTTAAAATTTTTCGTGTATGAAAAAGAACTAATCTCTTAATAAATAAATATATAAACAATATTTTTTTAAATAAAAAAAATTAATACAAATTATTCATTTTAAATATAAGAATTAAATATATGATTACTATATTACTCTTTCAACATCAATATAGAAAATAACGAATTTTTTATTCAAACTAACCTCATAAAAATATTAAATTTAAGTAATGTTTAAACAATATTTATAAATATAATTTAATTACGAAAATGCAATACGAACCTCCTCGGAACATTAAATTTGGCGTAAACACTATTAAATGTCGTAAACGTATTGACAAATTTCTATAAATGGTATTCATTATTGAAATATTTACAAATTTCAATAATAATAAATAATGTTTTCATAAACACCTATGACTTATTTTTAATTCAAAACTATCTTATTGAAGTGTCACATATAAACAAATATCATATAATAACTATAATACTACCAATGCTAGATCATTGTTGTATTCCGTTGCATAAGTACACTTCTTATTGTTTACATAATCATTTGAAAACATTATATGAATGAAGTCTAATTATTTATCCTTTTCTTTTTCACTGTTTTGAAATAAGATGAAATTATAATTGAAGTTAGCGATGTATCTTTTTAGAACACACTATTGTTCGTATTTTTTGACCAATGGTAAAGTCTCATATGTAGTGTGTCTATGTTCTTATAGTGATCTCGACGCGGCAATCTCGGCGTCCGACCTAAGTTAAAGTGATTTTTAGGCGCAACTTTCAATAAATATGTTGTGCTAGTATCGCGAAAGCAAAGAACGATGAGCTTCTCTAGTGATGAAGTCAATTTCTTGGTTTACCGATACCTTCAAGAATCTGGTATGTTTTTAGAGTACTTCATAACCTTTCTTTAAATAATTTAGGCAAATTTCGTATTCCTATTGTTTATATATATCTATCATATTTACATGGTAGATATATATATATTTTTTATAATAATAATTATCATTAATAAAATTTTATTAGTTAATAACATATTGTAAAATATAGATTAAATATGATTGAAAGAGGTTATTTGAGAATAAATATAAGCATTTAATTATTAAATATATTTTTTAAATTTATTGTGTATAAATTATTTTATAAATTATATAAGAATTATAATTTAGATTGTATATTTTCTTTAAGGATTTCAACATTCTGCATATACATTTGGCATAGAATCACATATATCACAAAGTAATATAAATGGAGCATTAGTACCACCTGCAGCACTTTTATCAATTCTACAAAAAGGACTTCAATATACAGAAGCAGAGATATCAATAGGTGAAGATGGAACTGAACAAAGAATGGTAGAATCTCTTTCTCTTATTGATGCTGTTATGCCAGATGTTGTGGCATCAAGACAAAATCAAATTAATCAACAAAAACAACAAGTGAAAACAGAAGTCCAAGACACAAATGGAGAGGAAGGTAACTTTATTTATTATAACAATTTTTATAATAATGTGTCATATAATTAATTAAATCAAGAATTATTTTATTATCCTGGTACACCCTGGTCTATAAAAATATTTAAATTTAATAGACCTCCTTATTAAACCAGGTATATTAATGGACTGCTTTAGTTGTCGGATTGTTATGAGCTAATATTTTTTGTTATAACAGTTAAATCAAAATATATTAATATATTTGTATATTATTTATATTATATATATATATATATATTTTTATTTCTTTAGTAAATTTTTTAATATTATTGTGTTAATATTAAAATATATACTGATATAGCAAATTAAAGCTCATTTTTAAAATTATAACATGTCCGTAAACTAGGAGCAAACAATTATATTATTAATATATATGTAATCTGGAATAAAGAATTAAAAATTTAAAAATTAATTATTTGCAAATTAATTCAATAATATGATTAATTTGATAATATCAAGATAAGATACTAATACAAATATAAAATAATATAAAGATAACAGTATTATTAAATATTAAGATTTTAAAATTAATATTAAAATTTTTTAAATACAGAATTTCTTTATTTTAGATTACATATATAATTATAAAAAGGAAAGGAAAATTTTTATTTAATAATTGTTATTAACTTATAATTTATTTTCAGTTGTTACTTCCAATGAAGGTGTAGGCACAAATGAAAGAGGAGGAGATAGAACAGAAATGGAAGTAGATGAACAACAACAAGGTTCAGGCAGGGGAACTAATGCTAGCGCTGTTGAAATTCCAGACACTAAAGCTACAATATTACGTGGTCATGAATCAGAAGTTTTCATATGTGCATGGAATCCAACAACTGATCTTTTAGCTTCTGGTTCAGGGGATAGTACAGCTCGTATCTGGGATATGTCTGGTAGTTCTCAGGCTCCAAATCAGCTTGTGCTTCGTCATTGCATACAAAAGGGTGGTACCGAAGTACCAAGCAATAAAGATGTTACTTCATTAGATTGGAAGGTAAAATTATTTTTTTTAAGTTATAAAATCAAAAAAAAAAAAAAAAAAAATTTATTTCATATTTCAGTGTGACGGTACCTTATTGGCTACAGGAAGTTATGATGGTTATGCACGGATTTGGAAGACAGATGGCAAATTAGCATCTACATTAGGTCAACATAAGGGTCCAATTTTTGCATTAAAGTGGAATAAACGTGGAAATTATATATTAAGTGCTGGAGTTGATAAAACAACAATCATATGGGATGCAGAAAGTGGACAATGTACTCAACAGTTTAGTTTTCATTGTGCACCTGCCTTAGATGTTGATTGGCAAACAAATACATCATTTGCTAGTTGTTCCACTGACCAATGTATTCATGTATGTAAACTTAATGTTGATAAACCAATCAAAAGCTTCCAAGGTCATACGGTATGTATATATATATATAGAAATATAATTATATTTTTTAATTTATAACTAAATATTTATTTTTTAAAACATAAGGAGTTTCTTTTTTCTTTAATTACAGAATGAAGTTAATGCTATAAAATGGGATCCCCAAGGCAATTTATTGGCTAGTTGTTCAGATGATATGAGTCTTAAAATTTGGTCTATGAAACAAGATACATGGGTACATGATTTACAAGCTCATAGCAAAGAAATATATACTATTAAATGGTCCCCAACTGGACCTGGAACCCATAATCCAAATATGAATTTAACTTTAGCTAGTGCATCATTCGATTCTACTGTAAGATTATGGGATGTTGAAAGAGGTGCATGTATACACAGACTTACAAAACACACAGAACCAGTGTATAGCGTAGCATTTAGTCCAGATGGCAAATTTCTTGCTAGTGGAAGTTTTGATAAATGTGTTCATATTTGGTCTACTCAGGTAAAATAATTTTTTTTTGTTTTTACTTGTCGTTAAGAAATTCATTATATATAATTTATATTTATATTTATATTTCATTATGTATATTTAATTGTGCAGAACGGTCAATTGGTGCATAGTTACCAAGGTACTGGAGGAATTTTTGAAGTATGTTGGAATAGCCGAGGTGACAAAGTTGGTGCTTCTGCATCTGATGGCAGTGTATTTGTTCTTGACCTTCGTAAAATGTGATCGCAATTAAATAATAGATTATATTTCATTTCTTGGACTTATTATGATTCTAAGTTACCTTCAATATTTCTCACTTTATTTTTGTTTAATTCTTCATTCAAAATATTAGCCACATTTTATACTTACTTTACTTTATTTGTTTGCGCTTGTTGGATATAATTTCATAGAATATTAATTATTTATATATAGATAAAAATGATTCGACGATTTATGAGTTAAATAAAATTTAAACATAAATGCAAATTAAAAAAAATGTGGCTTTTTATAGATTATTTTCCTAAGATTATTCTGTTGAAGAGGTTTATAAAAAGTATTGTACATTAAATATTTTCAATGATACTCTGTACAATTTGAAAAAGTTTGACAGATATATTTCCAGAGAAAAATACTATTTTCGTTCACTATAAGTGAATGAAATACATGTTGTAATTTTAATTATAATATTAAGCATTATATGAACATCGATAATAATAAGAAATAAAATAAATCTTTTTAAAAAAATAGTAAATTAAATGATTTATTTTTCTTATACTATTGAATGAAAAGGTACAATTAGATTATACACAAATATAATTTAAATTAAATTTATTTCATTTATATCCAATTACGCATTGGGTAATATACACAAGTCATACAAATAAAAAGAGCTAAAATGAAAATAAATAAATACACAATATTATACATAGATTTAAAATAAAAAAAAAATCTATTTATATATTATATATAATTTCTTTGCATAATTATATAGTGAAGATTTTTTTGTACATTTCCTCAATAACAAGATATGCATATAATGCAATATATAAATAATAATAATAAAATTTACATTTATTTTTTAATATTAATATAAATATCAGAAGAATTAATTTTTGTATATTAAGATAATCATAAAAATTGTTTATGAATGCTTAATATAAAAAATATATAAATATATAAAAAATTGAAGAACGAAGTAGTGAGATAAACTAAAATAAAAAGAAAAAATATTTTGCAAAATAGCATAATTTAATTTGAAAAATTTGTTTTTATCGTGATTTTTATACAGTATTATTATTTCTGTAAATATTCATGTGCATGTTACATTTTCATTATAATATAAAGTATATAAAATCAAAAATAAAATATTTTAATAAGATTTTAATAAAATTTACAAGAATAAATCATATTTCGATGTTTGTACATAAGTACAAATTTGATAGAAGAAAACATATTATGTCTATTAATTTATGGTACCTATGAAAGGAACTATTTACCGATTTTTTTTAAATACATGTAATATATTTCTTTGGTAATAAAATATATAATTCATTAGATCATTACTTGATTTTTTTCGAGAATATTAAGAAAAACAAAAGACGTGCTGATTACAAAGTTATTAACATAAATAAAATATATAATAAAAAATAATTTGCATATATATATTTAAGATATGGAACATTAAATCTTAATTACATTTATTCCTTTGATGAATAAAGTTTGTCGGGAACAAAGCATTTGATCTATATATTTAAATAATTGCATTACATTAAATTTATAGCTATTTGGATCTATTATATTTTGGAAATAGTTTGAAATTATTAGCAAAATATTGCATGATTCAAGAAATTTTACTGTACAATAGATAAATACAATTTTATAATCTTTTTCCATGGTTAATTTCAATTAAAAGTTACAATATTTACGTTTTTAAATTATTATTTATAATAAAATAGTTTATAACATTTCTATCATTGTGTTCATAAAACTTAACTCTAATGTGAAAAAACATTTACATTAAATTACATCCAATATTGGATATAAAATGTCTTCTATGTAGATTGTTGGATTGGGCAGACTTTGTGGGATCACAACGCATAATACTGTTTTGTTTCATATACATATTTTTGCGCTATTGAAAAGGAAGAAATAGAAAAAGATAAAATGTTTAAGTTCAAATTATAACATTAAATTTCAAATATCAATAAGAAAAATTACTTTATATTTTTCATTATTATTTCTACTTTCTTCCCTTTCTGGATGCTACAAAATTAAACTAGTTACGATTAAAATGATTATTAAAATTAAAACGAAAATAAGAAAATAAATACTGTTACATTCTATTTCTTAAATTTTTTGCTTTCTACGAATATATCATGCGCGAATACTAATATTTATTTTATGCTTGACACATGAATAATTTGCATATAATTCATGAATGAAATACGTATTAAATAATGAATTTTGCACGCCACAAAATGTATAAATACATGTTTGTATACATATATATATATATATATATATATATATATATATATATATATAACCTGAGGAATATGACGAATAATAGATAAACTATATGCAATTCATTAGCTTTAGATAAAAAATCGTAATATAGCGAAAATTGATTGTGAGTGTTCTCCTTGAGTGTTGATTACAATAAACGTAGCTCATTTGTTTGCGCCTGAAAATTTTAAATTTCATTTATTTTTTTATGAACAAATTTTAGGAATAAATTTGATTCACAATGAAATTAAATGTTCGCTTGGAATAATTACCCTTCGCGTTTGATCATCCTGTCTTTCTCGAAATGTCGAATCATCGTTATGGAGCCAATCCTGCAGTCTTTCGGAAATTCTTTCCGGTGCCACGTTTCGATCATGATTTTTTCCTTGTTGCTCGAGTACGTATTCAAATTCGCTTTTCAACCTTGAATCGCCGGTTTTAGACATGTTTCCGCCGTAAAGAGGTAACGATCTTTTTCCAATCGTCTCCAAAAGACGACGATTGGCGTCGATTTGAGCTTGATCCTGTAATGCTTTACGTCTAGCAAGTTCAAGAAGAACCCTTTGTCGTAACACATCCATAGAATTCACGATCGACAATGATCCGATACGTTTTGATTCAAGACGTTTCGTTCGGACTACTGTTGATCCTGGATCGTTTCCCGAGTCGAACATTTCATTCTGAAAAATTATAAAATTTTGTTATTAATATTCTAATACTAATTTTTCTCAAGATATAATTTTGCAACATCCGGTTACAATTTATTCGGACCGATTATACATTATGCAAGAAACAAATGTATTTTTTATGTTTACTTTTATAGATCACTTGACTTTTATTTTGTTGAGAAATGAAATAAAAATTATAATATTTCTTCAATGAAAAAAAGTGTTTACATATTAGAAATTAAAAATTAAAAAAAAAAAAAATGACATCCACGTTCTTAGAACTCGCGTGTGTTAGAAATCCAAAAAATCAATCGTGTGATAACCTAATTTCGGTGAAGAAATTTCATCTAAAATATATATATCGTAATATAAGTCATAAATAATTTAGAGTTAATCACCTGTTGATTATTGCTATCAATCATTTCATACGAGAAGAAAACATCTAAATATATTGCTAAAAGATTCATTTACGATTCGATTATAGAATCAATAATAAAGTCTGTCTAATGATAAAAAAAATATCTTTTCACATTCCTTCTAAAGTTGCCTAATAAACGAGAATTTTAAACAATTATATTTCAGTTTCAAGAGAATTGAGCATAATGTCGTAATAATAGATGAAGATTTTTTTATGAATATTAAAACACTTCAGAAAGGATGTACGTGGATATTTGACGCGAAAGATGGAACAATTACGTCGACTATAGTACCATGCTTTTGAGTAAAGAACAGAATTTGATTATCATGGACAATATTACGGTTGAAGTGGCGGAAAAAAAAAAGATCATTATGAATTAGAATTAAAGTGGATCGATTGCATATGCACATATGTGAAATAAGAAAAAAAAAGAAAGAAATCAACGCAACGTTGCGCAGTTTTCTCTAGCCTGCCACCACGCAATATTTCTCTGGTTTTATTGCCAGTTTTATGGAACACACTCGCTCAAGAATATGAGCAAAAAGGGGCGCGTATTAAAAGAGTAGGCCACGTAAGTACACTTACGTGTATGTATGGTTAACACTAAACGCTTTGCATTCATCTATACTTCGAATTTTCTTGCTTTTCATACATCCTATTATAAAAAAAATATGTTGATAAATTTTGTAATCACAATGTTCATTTTTTTTTAAGTAAAAAAAACTCAAAAATAATTCTCTTGATTCCATAAAAATTAGATCCTCCCTCTTCTCTCTCTCTCTCTCTCTCTCTCTCTCAGCAACTATTTACTTTTCAATTCGCGCATATATCGCTCCGTTCCAAACATTCTTGACATAAATTCTATCACTTCCACAATATGGACGTTAATTAAGAGCATTTCGCGAGATTGTGTTCCCATGACTCGTTCCCGGCAACGATCGCTGTCCCTGACAATGAAATCATTTTAATTAAACGCACCGAATAGGAAGAATAGAAAGAAAAATATCTCGAGAAATGCAAACGCGGCATTCATATGTCCCATTCAACTCCCTTGAATTATTTCTGTCTTTGAATATATATTATATATTAATTTATGCGTATTCGATTGATACTCAAGAAATTATGGGCGGACGTTTCTCCAATTATATTTTCAATTACAGTCCTCTCAACGATAATTTAACCATTTGCGTATTATGCTTTATTATTATATACGTTTTACACCGCGGATAATTTCTCGCGTTTCAGAATAATGATGGTATCGACTATTTCGGTAACGAAGATATTTCCAATAATCTGTTTATACAAAGCCTCTATAAAATGAAATCCGAATTTGACGTTATAACATTTGATTTTCTCTGTTCTGTTACATAGGTGAGGGAATAGATATTCGTTCACGATTCACGGTGTGAATTCAATTCGCGAAAGGATATATTTTAATCAAGTTTAAAGTTCGAATGATTGTTAATAGCGAAGTGTGTGTGGAGGAACGTCTACGTGAGCACGAAACAAGGATGCATATGATCGCTCAAGAATTCTTGGTTAGAAATCGCTTATTACCGATTGAAATTTAGTATATTTTGCGATTTTGAGAAATCGAATCAAAAGGATGGGATAGGAGGTTAATTAACTCGAAAGAAAATTTTCAAAATAAAAAAAATGACATTATTGCTTTACTTTCATTTCAATAGTAAATTTTTATGTACACGCGAGGATTAAAATAATTTCACGCTTTTTAATGTTTCGATTTATTCCACGATAATTTAACAATGTCGTTAAAATTTTATATATATATACGATAAAATATAAAAAGCTTATTGTTCGTTTTATCACATGAGCATATAATATGAAAAATGAAATCGATAGAATGAAATCCGACATATTCAATATTTAAATCCACTTTTTAGGGAAAGTATGTCAACCATACTTGACATCCTACCGTTTTACTTATATTCATTGACCTTTAGAATTTAAATCCTAGTTTTATTTATACGCGCAGGACTGGTACGAACGAGAAATGCTGGAGAGAATGGAACAAGTGAAAATCGGCGTTGAACGCGATCAATAAGAAAATATGGGCGATGATACGGCAATGTTTCATTTTTTAATTCGATAACTCGTGTCATCGTTATAACTTGAGAGGAAGGGGGGGAGGGGGGAAGATATTTCTCATACCTCTAAATCCGGAATTCGGTGATCAACGAGAAGTAAGAGTGGTGGATGATCCCGTGACAATTCTCTTTCGTCGTATGTGTTGTAGGATATGGGATGACATTTAGCCATAACGACGAACAATAGAGACACTAGCACGCTCATCAACATCATTGTGTTGAAAAACTGGGAACGAGTGTATCTGAAACAAAGCGAAAATGACATTTTATTACCCGTTATTGGATTTTTCGGTAAAAAAAAGTTTTGTAACAAACATTGTACATATATTGTGTTTTTATTAAATATTTGTATTACCTCAGTGACAAGATATTAAAGAAAAAATTATTTTTAATTCTGCATGAAAAGCATGAAAAGTAGAAATAACAAGGCTAATTCAATATTTTCTTTGAATTAATTATACTTGCATCAAGATTGTATCGATAAAACGTAGTAAAATTCGTTATTGGCTGTATGTACATATATATAACGTTAGATCGAGCGTGCGACTATTTATTGCTTATTGGAGGTTATCCCAGAAATGGGACGTTTCATGGTGGATAATAAACTCATGGAGAAAGAAAAATTGGTGTGGGATATCTGATAAAGGTTAATGGTACCTCCATCAAAAGAGGATGTCAAAAGGACGAAGACCCTTCGATCGGATGTTATAGAACAAACAGGCGTGGTTGAAAGTAACTTCCATAACCTCGACTTATCCTCATGAAATCAAGACAAAAAAAACAATCAAAAAATTGAGAGAAGACAGAATTGGGCATTAACCCATTGAATAATAAAAAAAAAGAATAACATTTATTCGTAATTATTATAATCGATCCGATTTTTACATAACCTTTTTGGCATTGCAATTATTTCCGATTTATTATTATATTTTGAATAAATTATTGAATAAAGTTATTTATAGAAATAACTTTAATTATTAAATTTTGTACATCACTGATAGAAAAATCTCTTTCCAAAATTTTAATACATGTAAATCGATACAAGGAATTCAACATAAAAGATTGACGTTTAACTACATCTAATAAGTGTGAGTGAAAGTCATGGCCAGCATCGAGCGAAAGGGAAAATCGTTGGAAAAAATAGCGATAGAGTGCGCATGATATTCTATAAAATATGTATTTCGTAAATTCAAAGAACGATCCAAGCAAATTTTCTCAACATCGTTATTTAAACATATTCACTATAATGAAATTATTTCATTAAATTACACTAGTGTGTGTACATCACATTGCATTAATTATCAATTGATCGTGTATTTCGATATTTATGATGCAAATGATAGTGGAAAGTCGCATAATTCGCTGTTATACTTTATCCTTTCAAATATAATTGTTATTATGTTTTTCAAAAAAGAAAGCACAAAGATAAGAATTGGTCACCGTTTGTAGGATTTGGTGATATCATATTTGAGGATTTTTGGAATTGGAAGAAGGAAGGAAGGCGAAATAGGATGACACAGTGTTTATGGTGTAAATGACGTATGCTCGATTTGACGTGACGCATGTTTGAGATTGTATGGAAAAGTGAAAGGACTGTGAAATATTTGTGTAAGCCTTATTGTATAACGAATTCTTATACTCTTATATTTTTCACTTCTATGGAAAGATGAATTAATAATTTTAACATTTGTTTCCTCAATTTTCAATTCGATTTATAACCTAAATATATAAAATATTATAAAATGTTTTCGATCAAGTCCAGATTGCGTTTTCAATTGCTTTCTTCAATTCTTTCTTCCTCGACAGAAGAATTTTTGGCTTTTCACATTTTTCAAAAAACGTATATCGCCTAACTTACATCCGTCAAGGAATTGTTAAAGGGTATACGCGTTAGTTTTACACATCAATTTTACTTTTGTGAAACTCGATACGTTCATATTTTTCTTGTTCGTAACTTTCGTGGTCGATATTTTGATCAAAAACATATTATTCACATAGTATCGTACAGCGATTCGAACAATAGGAGCTAACGGAGATTTAATTTTTAATAAACAATACTGCTTTTTATTATAATTTATTATTTCATTAAAAATGTATATAATATAAAAATATGACTGAATATATAAAAAAATTAATATCGTATTTAATTAGTATAAAATAAAAAAGAAAATACATAATAATAAATATATAAAAAATATATAAATATAAAAATATACGAAAGTAGACAATTTTTACTTTTCATTCGACTCTTATAAAGTGAAACGGTATGAAACATAAAAAAATCATTGACGAATCGTTACATTGCGCGAATTTTTAATATAAAATAATTATTTAACTTCTAAGTTTAATTTACAAAAAAAAACTTATCGATAATTTATAATTTAAGTTAAAAATAGATGTTTCGAGATCCGTTATATCCATAAAATTGAAATTCAAATGCTTCTTAAAAAATTTACAGAATATTTTTCAACTATTGAAACGAGACCGATCAATTATCGATTAGTTGTTTGCCTATATATTTCGTTTAATCTTCGTAAACATTTAAAAAGAGGATTAAAATTTTACAATATATATTATAATATAGTTATTACATAATTATCGAAACAATTATTTTTTTATAAATTTGAAAATTAATTTTGTCCGATTAATATACGTTATTTGAACTACTGTACACCGTCAAAGTATTAAAAGTCAAAGGAACTACTTTGGAACGTACAATATAAAGATTATTTTTAGTTTTTCGAGGCATTCTAACGTTCGAACGTTTTATTTATAGCAAGAAGGCTCGTACGAGAGCAACAAATGAGAAGGTCAAGTTCGGAAGTGAATGAATCTGGGTCGATGTGCCGATATAGACATCGAGGATCGTTGCAATTTCGTCGTCAACAACGTCGCGAGTTCATTAACACCTGGGGCTTAATTTGTGCCTGGTAATTTGGGGTCGCTTGTCCCGCTTTCCAATTACGCCGGTTGGTCGCCTCCGCAAACTCGTCCTTCCTCAATCTCTGTTTCCTTTTTTCATTGACGCTTATTTTTTTTTTTTCACTCCCATGCACTTTGTAATTGGCAAACATTCGTGAAAAAGTGTTAAATTAATAATCGAGCTTGCAGGATAACCTCCAAAACGACTCGTCGATTCAAGAAAGAAAAAAAAAAAATTGGTTACAAAAAATTCTTAGTTATTTTCACACAATAGATATTAATATTATTAATAGAATCATGTTTCAAAAGTTGAATGAAAATGACAATGTTTCAAAGTTGGTGATAAGTTGTTATTGTTCACCAGTCACCGCGCCACTATCGTTTTCATTGTCCTGTTTACGGATCGTAACTCTCTATTGATCATGTCGATATTCCGTTTTAGAGAACAGCTAGCTACATTCAAGCAAACGAAGATTAATAAATTTAACATTTGACACCTCGCGGTTTAACCTTGCCGCGATTGATCTCGAAGAAAATCAATAAAATATATTGATTGTCCGGAAAGTAATTTCGTTTTTTCACACGAGTGTCGCTAATTGAACGTTTATCCAGCCAACTTCATTCTAAATCGTGTTGTTATATATTTTGAGACTTGGCATTTCATGATTTATTTATAAGAAAAATTCGTTTGATTCTCTGTGCGATTGTGTTTTTCTTGCATGATAATAAAAGTGCAAGATCAAAAGGAGCATATTTTACTTTTTTATTACCGAAAAGATAAGAATGCTGTTTAGCCAAGAAAAAAATTATGCAAAATCTATAGAGAAGGTTATTAAGGTTATTAAGGTTATTAACAATATGTTAAGAGTGGTTTTTAAAATTTCGTTTCAACAATTTCAATGCATATTAAAGATGCACCATGTTTTGAGACCAGTTGAAGTTGATGAAGACAAACTAAAGGCACTGATTGAAGCAAATCGATGAATAACAACTCGAAAAATTGCTACGAGATTGAATTTGTCGAATCCGATTGTTCACGATCACATAAAACGACTTGGTGTTTCATTATCATAAGAAAACGAAATTATTTTTCGAACAACCCAATATATATATATATATTCATTTATAATTTCAATTGTTCTTTCGATATTATAGTTTACGTGTAATCTGTTTTTGTAGAAGATTAAAATTTGAAGTTTGCATATCCATCATACTGATGAGATACACCAGTGGAACAAATAAAGAGAGAGGAGACTTAGGCAAGAAGGTTAAAGAAGATTCTTCGTTCAGACTTGGTGCTTAAACTTGTCTCTGAACGCTTTAATTACGGTGGCGGATGGCGACAGTGGGAAGAAGTAGAAGAAAGGGCGAGGAACAGGAAAATATTGCACGAGGCAACAGGCGTGAAATTATTCGCAGGCCGGAATAGATCAGAAACAGAAGGATGCGGGACGGTTGCCGGAAAATAAGGGAAAATGATAGCCGGCCGGCCGTTTATCGATTAACAATGAGGAATTTTACAAAGGTAGGTTTTTCCACCATCTTTTGTAGAGAATGCAATTCTGTAATTTTGCTAAACGATCGTCTAACGAGCAAAAAACTTTTTTCATCTGTAAAAAGGGATAATAGGAGATCGTGAAAGGGAATTAAATATTCCTATATACAGGATGCCCCAGTTCTTTTCCTCTTTGTCAAAACTTTATCGACGTCCTCAAGTGTGAATAAAAAGAGGATAGAGGATGCATTCTTATCTAAAAATCTAGAAGAATCTAGTCTATCAACAGTTAATCCTAATCCTTTTTTTTCAGACATCACACCTTTTTTTATAATAAATTTAAATACAGTTAAGAGCAATATTAAGATGAATCAATCTTCTTGCGCACCTACGTAGAAAATTACGAAACTTTAAATGAAGTTCGTCGAGATCGTTAAAGCGGACTGCCTTGTTTTATATACCGGATGTTTTTATTTACATTAAGTTAACAAATAATAGATACTAGGCGATCAATCGATCAATGGAATATGTAAGAGCAACTTAGACGGAAAGACATGATGTTTTCTTTTCCAAAGTTAGTTTTTACTCACGTTATGATCACTTTATTTACTCTGCACGTACTATACTATAGTAGTTCAAAACTTTCTACTTTTTTTTTTATTTTTTCTTGTCACAACGCAATTTTCATTTTAACTTAAATAATTCTATCAGTTGAATGTGTCAACCAGAAAATTCTTATAATGAATTTCGAAACTTTTTCCATTGTTCATCGTCCTCTTTTTAAATATCGAGTGGCTTTTAACTACATCATGTTACAAAGTTTCT